CCCCCCCCCCCCCCCCCACACACACACCTTGATTGTTTTAGTCTGTAGTTTGAGACCGTTGAGTGTGTTGATGGCCTTGTCTGCATCATTTGGATCTACGTAGTTTACAAAGCCATAACCCAAACTCTGACCTGCAGACAAAGACACAAGAATACAGACGATGAGTGTTTCCAAACGCAGTGGGAAAATATTTTGTTTTATTTAGTTTTTTCAGCACTTTGTACCCGTTATCTTGTCTCGGACGAGCTTGCACGATTCGATCTCGCCGATGCTACCGAACAAGCTTTTGAACTCTTCCTGGGTCATGTTCTGAGGCAGATAGTTGACGATCAAGTTGGTTTTGCTGTCGTCTGTGGAGCCGTTTGTGCTGATGACTGGGCCATTAGGCAGACTGGTTCCACTTGGACCGTTGGACACCTGCGTTTCCATGGTGCTGATTATCTGCTGAGAAAGAGGGCGAAGTCAGACTCAGAACTCAGACACAGTGGTATAAATATATCAGACATTTATTATTTAACGTATTATAATCCAAATGCTAATGTAAGACATGTGCATAGCCACAGACGGTCCACTCTATATCTGTCAGAAATGCAGGTTAATAATCAGCATTGCTAAAATGGAGGTGGACAGGCTCTGATTTATCATGCTCCCCTCCTCCTCATTTGCTCCTCTGCTGCTTCCTGCCTCTGGTCCTGCAGATGTCACAGTCCCTTTTCCTTATGTCTCCCCTCCCTCCCCCACTCTCTCTTCCAGGGTCAAACACCATTGCATCATTCTAATGGGATGGATAATGGTAGGAGAGTGAAAGAGATGTTCGATGGATTTAACACTCCAACAAATAAGGCATTTATAGTTGGTAAACACAAAATCACACATTCATTCTTCTGTTTTTGTCATCAAACTGCTTTTTTTTTATTTTATTTTAGTTTTGTGTCTCTTTTGTGTGTATTGAGTGAGCCATACTGTCTAATTTATGTCAAGTAAACTGTCAAGAACCATTATTGAAGAAAACTTCCTGCTCCAGTTCTTCCTCAGCACTGAGCTCTTTTCGTCTGATCAATATTTTGAATGTTGCGCTTCTCTAGAAGAAACTTTGATTTGTAGGGGGTGATTTGAAATCAATTCAGTTGAATTTTACTTTGTTAATTGCAAACATTTTTAAAGTGTATAAGAAAAGGAAACAAACAAAACATCCAAGGAGTTATAAAAAAGACTTATCGTAGTTTCACGTTTATTTGAAGCTAAAATACATTTGTATGAAAATATTTTGCGGGGTTTTACTTTAGTTTTAAATTGTCTGACGTCATCCAGTTTAAATTTAAACGTCAAAGTATAAAAGTGCACTCATATGGATGAGTCATGCAAATATTCATGAGCTTTATAAAAACATTTTCAACATGTCTGCAACGTATTTATTGTGTTGATTTAGATGCATTTGGTCACATTTAGTTGACCACTCTGGAAAACATCTGTACAAACAGCTGCATGCTGTAAATGGATAATATTCCACTGTGGCATTGAAGTGTTGATGGTCACTTACTTATGCTATGAGTCAAAAAGGAAAAAACAAGCCCCATTGAAGCTTCTGGGGTTGTAGAATGTAGACCCAAGAAACAAAACTAGTTATTTAATAAGTCTCAAATAATTTAAAATAGATTTTGAATGGTATAAATGCCACGTCATACATATAAACTAATAACTGATACTGTTAATAGCTTTCTGAAAGTTAAAAAGCAGCAGTTTATGCTTCTTTAAGTGTCTTTTTTTTTAAATAAATATTTAAAGAAAAGGTATGCTTTTTTCTTATCAACTCATGTAACTCAAGCAGCATGTTTTTATTTGTACAAACAGTGTGCATCATAAAAGCAAACCACTTAAACTAAACTAAACTTCTTGTTTTTTTATGTCTCATTTGATGGGTTCATTTTCTTTTCCTTAGGTCTATAAACTGGTTTGTGTACAAAAATAATTTTCCCATCGTCTCTGCATCCAGCTGTCGAGCTTCGAGCCTCACCTTGACTCTTGTTGCCCAGGTAACAGCCCCCTCAAAGACGACATTGTTTCTAACGTCTGACAGGATGTTTTATCCTTTATGTTGAACGTTTGTCTGATGTGCATATATTTACATATGTTTAGATTGTATGTCTTTGCAAAAGCAACAAATCTCAATAAGTCAAATGAATGATGACAAAAGGAAAGCAGCGTGGTGATGGTTTAAAAATAAAATAAAATACTTCAAACACATCAGTGCACCGGGAGTGAATAATGTACAACCAGCAAGCTGTCACACAAAGATTAATGATGTGCAACTAAGACAGAGCCTGAATTTGTTTTATTATTTAGCAACAAAATGTGGAGTTAACCTGCTTTCTTGTAAGTGTTATAATATTAATGCAGTACATTGTTCTATGATGCATTTGACGAAGAGAAGCAACTTACTGTGCCCCAAAAATAACAACATTTACAAAAAAGGGGAATAAAGAGAGATATTTTAGGGACACATTTGACTCACCAAGTGGAAAACCCTCAGCCTTGCAGCTGAAACTTCACCAGCAAACTGTGTTGAATTATATAAGTCACTAAAAACTGGTCGTGGAATATAAATATTTGGATTTCCATAAATAAACTAGAAGCAACAAGATGCTTTTAAGCTATTTTAAGGCAGCTTGAGCTTAGTTTTAAGCTTTTATTTTATAATGTACAGCAACAAGTACAATATTGTGGCCTAGCTTTGGTTTTACAGTAAGCTATAGTGACTTAATGTGATGGTATAGCAGTAAAACACACAAGTAATCAGAAAATATTTAGCAATTGCAATAACAGATACAGAGATTTACGACTAAAACCACAACTAATAACTAATTAGCTCAGTGTAATTTGACTTAAATACTTCCAATCAGGATAAAAACAGAATTCTGATAATAACTCTCCAGCACTTCTGAGTCCCACACCGCTGCTTTTCTTTCTATTTCAGGGGCTCTGTGACACCCCCCTTAATATTTAATGGAGTGCCTCAGCTTCGCCCACACATGGTTGCAGACTTGCACGCATGCAGGAGCCCAGCCGCCGTCGCCAAACAAACACACACCACCTACACTGTGCACAATTAAATTACAAAACACGCAAACAATCCAAGGCTGCATGTAAACGCAGCCTGTGGCCTCATGCTTTCTGGTGCATTTTGTTCATTTCTGCTCCAAATGCAATACAGCATCTCCAAGCTGTCACAGTTTCTTAGTTCATGTGTTTTTCCCAGTGTATGTCACAAAGTGGATGTTTCATGAAATGTGTGAAATTATGTTCTCACAGTCAGGGGCCCCATTTAGTTCCAGCATGTAAGTGTTGGTGAATCATAAGCTTGATGCACCAGTAAATGTATTTGCTGCATGCCATTTTAGGTTAGATAGGTCTAATCACTGCTTTAAGCTCAAAGAAGTAAAAAATGTTGTGTTTAAATAACATTGTGTGTTATCTTAATATATAACCCACATTGTCTAAAGATCTTTTTTTTTTCTGGAAGAGATCAAATAAATCCAAGCACATAGGCTAAAGTGTAAATGAGCCTTCTAAATAACACAGATTACAGGATTATCCCAAACAAAGGGCATTTGCCACACTCTCTGCAGCTTAAAGGATCATGGTGGCAGTTGGATCACAACAGGACGAGCAGAGTCACAGTTTATTTATTTATTTATTTATTATTTTTTGTCTCAATTTTTCCCCTCTCAGCTCAACAGAAGACAAATAAAAAGCTAGCTCTCTGGGTGTATGTGACAGAGATGATAGCAGACAGCGTCAGAGGCCTGGAGGAGACGGATCTGTCTCACAGGTCCTGGAGCACGAGGGGCGCTATCCAGCGTGCTGAAAAGGGAGTGGCTTTGGTCAGGCTCATTTCAAGTCGAGGAAAACAACCAAAGATCATCGAGTTTATTTTGTATGCTTTGTTGAAATTTAAATAGTTTGACATAAATTCTAATATGGTCAAATAATACATAATGTCCTAACATTTCCTGAGCTGTCCTTTAGACGCCCGGCTTGTGCGCTCTGCAGGCATTCACGGAGCGCAGCGCCTATTTGCTGAATAAATGTATTGAAAGGAGCAAACAAAAGAGCCACCCGTTCCTCCTCTTCTCTCTGGCAGAGGCTATGGCAGCACTATGAATATTAATGTAAACAGTGGCGCTTTGTGCCGTGGCCACAGGCTGCAGGACTCTCCGGGAACAATGCTCGTTACAGTTGCAGCTCCAAGTCAAAAAACGCAAGAAAGGGTCAAATATCCAACTAAAATAAATAAATACAGTCAGTTTTTTTCCCCTTTTAGAGTGGGAGCACTTGGATTATAGGCTACAATAAAATCCAAATATTTAGACAAGTTAGTGTTTTTATAAATATATATATATTTGTTTATCCTGGATAGTAATAAAAAATAAACGTTCTGTAAGGTTCTTCTATACAAGATTTATACATATGAACAAAAATAATTGTTTTTCCTTACAAAACAAACAACATAACGCATTTATAAGGATAATTTGAATGATTTGCGTCTGCTAAAAAGGAAATAAATCAAAATGTAAGTAAAGATCCTTCACGTTTCAGCTTGAGATCACAGCTGGTTTACAGTGGTGGCCTCGCCTGTCCTTGTCCTTGAATTGTGTAAGAGCCTCGGAAAGGTTATCTGACTCAACGCTTTTATTTGCTTGGCACTGCGGTACAGGCGTGAGGGACTGCGGACCACGTGGAGAAGATGCTCCCCACCAAAGAGGCCCGAGAGCAACAAAAGGTTCAACAAAGAGAACATCTAACGTGCGTCAAGTGGACAGACTGAGCCAAAACAAATTTCTCTGGTTCAGTATTGCCACGCGCCTCTCTTTGTGTTGGTGATTTGTTCATTTTGCGCACTAAAATTAGCCATAAACTAAATATTTTAGACCTGTCATTAATATTATTTCAATGCAACTTAACGAATTTCTTCTTATTAAAAAAAAAAGTAAATTTTTATAGGCAACGCTGAGGTTGTATCATTCCTCGTTTCCTTTAATGATCCATTTTTCCTATTTTTATGTAAAATGGGTTGCTTTTAATTGGTTTGCTTAAATAAACAATGCGCAATCAAGTCAAGAGGCTAAAAGAATAGGTCGTTTGAGGCTTCAGGGCCCTCATTTGATGCTCCAGTCCAGCAGAGAGACACGCCCAACCCTGCCGCCGGCGCGCGCCTCATTTATCATCGCCTCCATCTCCTTCTACCCACCATGCGCCCTGTGAGGCATGGCCATCTTGCAGCTATACGACGCGATTCCTGAGGAAATTCGCTTAAAATGGTGATGTTCGCGCGCGGCCTTGCGCGCCGCGGCCTCGTTTAATCGGTTGCATCGCAACGAGAACCCTGAGGATTTGGGACTTTGTTTGATTCAAAGCGAAACCAATGGATGCGTAATCTCTCCCCTCCCTCCCTCACCGAGTGACTCGACCCTTTTTTTTTTTTTGCCTTGCTGGATGGGCCCTCAGCCTCCGAGGCATCATGTTTTGTCCCCAGCATCCCTGTGCAGCATCCGGCAAACCCCCCCCCCCCCCCCCACACACACACACACACACACACACACACAGCTGAGCACGGCGCCTTATTGCGTTTCTCCATCTCCATCACTATTATAGCATGTCCAAATAACGCAACGCGCGTTGACTTTTAAGCTTCACAGAGGCTGTGGTGGTGAAATGTAAAACCCGAGCCATCTAAAATGGCAGGATAATGACTTTCTCCAGCGCAGAGGGTGACTGCAGGCTGGAGCGCAGCATGGCGCATCACACACTGCCTGCATCGATCCTTAATCTTGTTAAAAGAATACTGCGTGGCATATTGGACGACAGCGTAAAGGACACTAATTCCAAGTGTGTGTCGGCATGTGTGCGCAACCACGCCGCTCTGCTTGAAAATATACTGATTTCTGCCCCCCCAAAAAAAGGCACGAGAAGGCGCGATTTCCATTGACATCACATGTGCACATGCAAAACAAATCAAAAGGCGTGCGATTAAAGCGTATGCGCGATGATACAGCATCCCCATCATGAATGGAAGAGGGAAAATAGAGCCATACGTACAGTAACCATTCTTGACGTACAACGAAAGATATCTAGGTCCTTCTTTCCACTGGTCTTCAAGCTGAAAGCTGAGTCTCTATCAGGCCTTTTATGATATGGCCTTTAAAAATGAAAAGAAAAAAAGAAAAAAATGAAAAAACGACAATCTTCGCCAAAGGATCTCAGCCCTCGGAGGTTGTAGGTGTCCTCTACAAGGATGAAAATGGGAAGAAAGGTGTTTTCTTCTGGATGATGGTGGTGATGGAGAGCGTCCTCTCCGTGTGGCGTGGGCGATGGTTCAGGAGGAGAAAAAAAAAGAGAAGTGATCCTCGGCAGGGTGTGTCCAGGGGAGGGTGTTCTGGCTCGGCTGTTTTGTATGTGTGTGTGTGTGTATGTGTGTGAATGTGTGTGCGTAATTCCTCGCTACTCTCGCAGTCTCCTTCTGTGCCTCTGCTGCAATGTTCTTCTTTTATGCGTCCTCCTGGCTGGCAGAGCGCGCTTCTGATTGGCTAATTGTGCAGAGAGGGTACTACATGGCAGCCATTGCAATGCGCCGCTCTCCCATTATCCCCTTCAGGAGAAATCACCAAGAGCCCTCCCCTCCCCTCTTTCCTCTCCCATCCCTGCCCTTCCATCTCTCCACTCCCTCCTTCTCACTGCCCTTCCTTTCTTCCTGCCCTCCCCCTCCTCCTCCTCTTCGCATACAAGCAGAGCAGAGTGAATAGGACTCCACCTGCACTTTCACAACAGATGGATGGAGCAGAAGACACTGGACGTGCCTTTTCCCTTCTCACCATTTTGCACTCAGTCCTGCATTTCCAAAGCTCCTTCCTTTATCTGCTATTCCTCAATTAGCCCTGTCTGAAATGATTGCAAACAACTACACCCTGCAGGCCTTTGTCTTTGTGAATAAAAGCAATTCACTCAGCCGGCTCTCACATTTTTGCTCATATTCACTCAATTAAAGCAAATGGGAGGAAAAAGACAGTTAAATGCAAGCAAAAACAAAGCATTAAATCCATATTGCAACACCGAGTGGTTGATTTCTAGACTTTTTGTATGCAAGGCAGATGGTTCACCATAGAGTCAGGTGCAGACGTGGGAATAGTAAATTAGACACCCCCAGAAAATTCATTAAAATCCATTCAGCCATAACAGGAGAACTGAGATTCCTTTGACTCTGATCAAGCTGCATCAAATTATCTTTTTTATTTTATTTTATTACCAGAACGACTGTAGCTAGCAGTGGTATTCTTTCTTATTTTACTAACACAGGATCTCCTCACTGAGGCGTTCCCAGCCCTCTATGCCCACCTCCTGCTGCTCCCTCCCATGTGCCTGGCTGGATGGTAAGTGCTCACCGAGACATGCTGTTTGGACTCATCTATAATGTATCCCCTGCCCCGAGACATCATGTGTGACAAATGACCTATTTTTGTGCAGACCCCCAACGGGCCTTGACCTGGGGCTGGGGAGGCGGGGTGCAAGTTTGCATAAATTAGTGCATGCATGTTTATTTGCACAAGGGTCTCTGAGTTCATGTGAGGATGCAAGACCTTAAACGGTTTGAAGAACTGATGTCTTATGGATATTTTATGACTTTTGATTGAAGTGGCACCGATGTGATCACTTCCTTTGCTTTGCTGTCCGTATTTGACCTTGAGAAATCCTCAGATAGCTCTGGCTGTGAAGACTGATAGAAGGAGAAAAAAATGTTTGCATTATTGATGCTGGTCACTTGGCCTTGATTGATTATGTGGATGGATATTAGTCAGTACTTGAAGAAAAATAGCAGGAAACACAAGTAATTCACTCCCTGCTTCTGCCATGTTTACGTTTGTCCTTCCAAATCTCTCCTGTACAGCCCTCTTTCCTTACTGTCACAAGCCTCTGAACATTGGCTCTGTCTGATATTTACATAATTGCCTTACATAAGTAGCAAGCCTGGCTCAGAGCTTGGATGATATTAGTGGAGATGAATATTGCATGAGGAAAGTGCTCGTTAAGCGTTAATAAGAGGATAGAGATGGAGCCCCACTGTCAGTCTGTCTTAACCCCGCCCCCACTGTTCTGACAAGCAGTGACTCAACTCAGCCTGGATGCGTTGGAGCTCTTGAGTCAGTTTTCATAGAGAGGGAGGACAAGTGTGTGTCCATGTATGTGTGTGTGTCTTCCAGCGTGCATGGAAGTCTGAGAGGAGATGGCGAGATTCACTCATTAGGTGCTTGTGTTTTTTCTCTTTTGTTGGCTGGATAAAAGCGGCTCTTGTAACACAAAGGCAACCAGGTCCGTTGACTGACTGCAGTTCCACTTACAGTTCACCCTTAATGTGAATAAACGGGCTTAATTGTGGCCTCTCATTAAAGCCCTGGTTAGTAGCATGGCAGCTGAATCCTCTCTCTGTGGGTAAGAGGGCATTTGAAGCACCTATTGTATGTTACTAAATCATGGATCAAGCATTAGTTTTGCTTAAAAGCCTTTTTTTTGTTGTTTCACTGATTATTTCCTTATAGTCCCCTAAGAGTCCCCTCAGTGGTGATTAGGAGTCTTGAAGCAGAGCTCCTTTTGTCTTTGTGTATCGTGCAATGCACCTTAGAGCCAGAGAAATTTATACAACCCCAATTCCAAAATAGTTGGGACATGGAGTAAAATGTAACTAAAAACAGAATGCAATGATTTGCTAATCTCTCAAAGGCACTTTTATTCGCAATGAAACATATTAAACAAATCAAATGTTTAAACTAAGAAAGTGTATCATTTTGTAAAAACATGAAAAATGGTAATTTTGTGTTTTATGGCAGCAACACAGCTCAGAAAATTTGGGACAGGGTCATACAGTATTTATCACTATGAAGCTACCCCTATTCTACTCATAACAGCCTGTAAATGTCCAAGAACTGAGGATCCCAGGAGACCAGCTGCTGGAGTTTTAGGAGGAGAATGTTGTCCGACTGTGGACTGATTTTAACTGTTCAACCATCCTGGGTTTTCATGGTTCATGAATACAAAAATGTATTCTTGTAAAACCTAATATCCTGAATTGATGGTGCCTTTCCAGATATGTAAGCAGCCCATTACATACAAACTAATGCACCTCCATACCATCAGAGAGGCAGACTTTTGAACTGGATGCTTATAACGAGCCAGATGTTCCCTCTTCTTGTTAGTATTGTTAGAGTTATCCTATTATCATGCGGAGACCCCCGGTCTTGTCTGCACAAAGTCAGACTAGTTTCTGGCCCAGTTCTGTACACATGAGATGGGCCCAGCTGCTCTGAGAGAACTTCCCAGGGTCAACACCCAATAAGGAGTATTTTTTTATTTAGTTGGCTTCAATCACATATATAGATTTGCACTTTCACCCATTTTCACCATCAGAAACAGATAAGACCAATGATGTCACTCAGGGTCACCCCACTGATACTCACTGATAGGCTGCACTCCTGGAAATGAAGGCGGAGCCAAGGGCCAATATAATCTGGGGAGTTCTGTTAGACGGGGCCTCCACTTCCGTTTCCGCTTCCGGGTTAAGACAAGTTGGACGGACGCCTGCAGCGCCGAACCTGTAACTTTCTCCTGCCTGATGAACATTAAATTGGTAAATGGAAATTATATATCTTGATTTATTTGAGTTAGAGCGAGTTTCCTCTCCATCTGAGAATAAAAGAACCAGACGCCAGAGTTGGGGAGTTGGACCAGTTTTAAGGACGGACCCAGTCCAGATTCTCACAAAATGGTGCCGAAACCCGGGACGTTTCTCCCGGTCCAGATTCTCACAGTATGGAGGGCATGGCATCTGCAGTTTACAGAAAGAGTTTTAATTTTCTATTTGTCTGACCACAGAGCAGCTTTCCCACTTTGCCCCGGTTCATTTCGAATGAGCTTCGACCCAGAGAAGATGCCATCATTTCTGAATGGTGTTCACGCATGGCTTGTCCTCTGCATGATGGAGTTTTAACCAGCACTTGTAGGAGGAACAGTGAACTGGGTTTACGAACAATGAGTTGAGAAAGTGTTCCTGAGAGTTATTTGTAACAAATTCAATTCAGTTTTTAATGCAGCGACGCTTGAGGCTTGAAGATCACGAACTTCAATAATGACTTTCATCCTTGTCTTTTGATCACAGAGATTTATCCAGATTAACTTAATATTTGATGATATTATAAACTGTAGGGTAAGTCTTTCCAATTGTATGTTGAAAAATACAATTCTGAATTTTTTTAGATATAGTTTTTCCTCATACTGGTAAACCTCTGCCCATCTTTACTTATTACACCCTTTTACGGACCTGTTGCCAATTAACGTAATTTGTCATAAAATACTTCTCCATCTGTTTCTTATTGTTTACAGCCTTTTGTTGCCACCTCTTTTAGATATGTTGCCGTTTCGTTTTTAACCTTTTTTGGATTTTCTGCTACAAAATGTTTACAGTACAATATCTTTGTCTCAACAATTGTTATGTTTGCTTCATTCCATTGTGAATAAAACTGTTTATTTATTCATTTGATTTTTGGATTTACAACTGTTACATTCTGTTTTTACGTACATTTTACACAGTGTGCTATTTTTTTCCTTCCACAATCGGAGTTATAAGATTAGTAAATTGATTTTGAACACCAAATAAACAAATACGTAAATGAAAGTTTTCAGCTTTGCACAATAAATCTAATTGAGGGAGCAAGTGCAACATCAAGCATTGTAAATGGTAAAACCCCAGAAATTCTGAGTGCTTCAGACGGTCTATCTCTGTGGCTCATCGTTATTGCACTTTCAGTACATCAAAATGAAAGCCTGTTGCCATTGCCCCGCGGTGAGGCCTTGTCTATTTGTAAGAAGGAGAGAGGGGGAGAGTGACACTATATGACAGTGAATCTGGGGGATGGGGAGGGTGATTCAGCCTGCAGGTCTGGGTAATTCAGTGGTCCCCATCCACCAGGCCTGGCTCCAGGCTTCAGTGGCAGCAGCAGTTACTGCTTTCAGGGAAGATTCCAAAAATAAATTAGCCTCTTTTTTTTTAAAGGACATTTGTTGAAAGTGGCAACTGGCCTAATTCAACCCTTTATGTATTATTTGGCAATTTTCTTGTGGTCTCCCTCATGGGTTTACTTGCACTTTTTCCTGTCTCTTTTTCTCTCCATCCTTCTCTTCTGTCTGTCTGGATGTGTTGTCTCTGGGCTATTATTAGAGTAGACAGGCTGGTGGGAGGAAGTCTCTGAAGTAGATGCTCTTGTCATTTTTTTTTTTTTTTAAATTCATGTATGATATTCTACTTTCATTCTTCCTGGTTAATTCTTTGTATTCCTATAGAAGTTTTATTTTATTTTATGTAGTCATTACTGAATAGATAAGCTTCATTGTTTGGGTATTAAATCAAATAAAATTTTGGCATAAGCTTATTATCACTAATAAGCTTCTCTTTGTTACAGGTGTATTCTCATATGAACATTCATGGTTTAAACAAGAGAAATCTTAAAACCTTTTTGAATATAAAGCCGTGGTTATTAATTTTTCATCTTGTCCTGTCTGAGCTGGAATCGAGGGAGAGAGACCTTAAACACACAAAGCTCTGAAACGTTCTCGATAGTCTCTTGTTTCTCTCTTTCTCTTCTGTTGCTCTCTATTTATTTGAAATTAAAAGAAAAACACACGTTTGATGGACATGAAACAAATAGAAAAAAGTGTTCTGTTCACATGTGCTTTTCTAGCTTGTAGAAAATCTTAATGAAAAGTAAATATTAAATAAGATAAAACAAATTCCCCATTTTCACTTGATGTGCTTTCATGTATTTTATGTATTTACTTGATGGTGATAAGCAGTTTATTATATAAGGCGGGCTCTCTGTGAGGAGTACTGTAATGTTTCCAAGGAAAGCTTCCAGCTTTAGCCATCATACTCCATTTTCTCCTCCTCCATCACACCCCTTCCTCCTCTCCCGTTTCATTTTCTTGCTTTTGCTCCCTGTAGTCCAGCTTTCTCCCCTCATGGCCTCCCCCCTTCGCAGTAATAGGAGACTTGAAATCAATAGCACATTAGTCTTCCTGGAAACTCTTGCGGAATTAAATATGAATGACTGAGATTGCAGCTTTACCTGCTTCGGAGAGAGACATCATTGCTCTTGGGGATATGGATTTTTTCCCCCCTTCCTCAAGTAAACAGTCTGGCCATTTTGTGCTGTTCCTACAGCTTGCCAGATCACTGGGCAACTTAATTTTGTTGGCAATAAATAAACAGATCCTTGAATTTTGCGAGATATTGTTCAGGGTTGTCATTTTGTCCTCTGCACCAGACAGATAACATAATATGATCGAGCAAATGGGATCACAGACGTCACAAAGCCGCGACAGCTGAGGAGGCGAGAAGAATCAGCCGGCCACACCCTTCCTCTGAGCACAGCAGTGGCACCATTTAAATATGAAAGAGCACTTTGCTTATTAACAGATTGCATATGACTTTGGTTTTTGTGCTCTCATTTTCCTCACGCTTTCTGTTCAGCACTTCCATTTAGGAACTTTTTACATGTAAATTTTTGTTGCTTGGACGTGCATCATTCGGTTCCATTTTCATTAACTGGTTCACTGTGCAAAGTGGAACAATTTCTTCTAACACGCTGCTCAGCTTAAAAGCATAATTTGGGAGGTTGCTGGAGAGTGCTGGCTGGTGGGAGGAAGGTAATACGAGACAAAAAGCTACCGTGCATGCTTCTGGGAATTGATAAAAACTTAGGCAGTGGTAAGTTAATACACAGAGATGATATAGAAGAATATATCTCTGCAAGCTATATTTCACTCCATCAGAGATGAAACAGTTTGTGACAGATGGAGTGATATTGTTCCCTGTATGGCCCATAAGTAAAGCCCCTCCTGCTTCCCCTCCCTGACAGATGTACCAGGAGGACCACAGTGCACTTTCCTTTCTTTCAATTGATTTGGGTGTTTGAACCCTTAGGGACTGAAGGATGATGCTAGGCTGGGGGTGACGTTAACGTAAATGGGGAGGTTTACTCATTTTCTGCAGCTCAGTAAGCAAACGAGTCCAAAGCAAGTTATATAGAGAACTCATATGAATATATCTGCATAAATCCAAACATGAAACTGTAATAGCACTCAGTTCTGTCCAACTAAGGAAGAAGGGAGAAGTATTTCCATAAATCTTGATTACTGAGTGACAACTTAGCTTGCATCCATGCATGTAATAGGCAGATGAGAGCTCATGGCTGATCATACTAATTGTATTCAACCGATTTACAGTGGATTAAAATAGAAGCACAAGTTTTTTTTTTTTTAATTGAACCTACAGAAGACTGAAGACTGGGTGCTAAACGATGCTGGTCTGTGTGTTTTGGAGCAAGTAAGCTGATACTAAATGATTCAGCAATGATGATCTTTAACTCCTCTCCCAACCCTGACTGTTGGATCATCATTAAGAGACTTAACAGCTGTCTTGTAGCAGATGTGTCCTGTTGCTATAGCAGGCTCATCGTCCCTGGAGGGGAAAGGTCAAGACAGGGGTGGAGGTTGACGCAGAGATTCTCCTAAAGATGCTACGTGTTTATGCTTCAGAAAAAAATAAACAAACAAACGAGCATCTGTTTTAGATATGCGGTGCCATCAGAATTTGATGGCAAATATCACTTCAGTCCTTCTTGAGTCAGGCTTGCGTGCAACCCAAACAAAATCTAAAATGATCTTGAATATTTTTATGTATTGCTTTTTATGTAAAATATTTTTCCTTGTTATTTGGAGAAAAAAAAATAGGTATAATTGTATAAGAAAAGTGATAATGATTTTGATACGACTCCCTGATGGGACAGAATAGAGAGGGGACGTGCCCCGGCCATAGGCGCGTGGCAGAGTGGAGCAGGTGGATGACGGGCAGCTGAGAGGTGGACTCGGGGGGGAAGGAGGAGGAGGGGCCTCCATTTTGAAGGACTCTTGGGGTTGAGAGAAACCCTGAAAAAAGGCAACCCCATCTGGAAGTGAGGTGGGGGCTTTGGTGTGAAAGAGATCTAGTGGGTGGTGTCTGACACTCTCTCTTTTGTTCTTTGGTACCGCAGCAGTGATGGTGGTGGGGCTCTCACTGCCGTGGGGGCTGGGCACTCAGACAATAGTGCCGATCTAGGATTTGAAAGCCTTCGATGAACAGAAAGGCAAGGAAGCATGTAAGGAAGGTGTGGACAGAGGGGAGAAAAAGTCGACCTGTGCCCCCCCTCTTTCAATAAAGCAAGGATGCTGCAATCTCACTCAGAAACACACAAGAATGTAATGTTAACATTCTTGTTAAATATTCAAGAAAACGTTTATTTAAGTGGGTTTTAGATGCACATCCAAATGATGTGATAAATCGATCATAAAAGCAGAGTTGTTCGATAAATCGTACTTTGCTGAACCTGAGAAGTAAGGAAAGAAAGACGAGTTTTGGCGTTGTGGTGGAAGCGTGCTGGAGCTTCATTTGTTTTCATTAGCCGAGTCCATGGGCCAGACTCGTGCCTGCTGTAAGCTCTGATGCAGCACTAAGAGGTGTTCCATGCATAAACTAACACCAAATATCCCAGCGACGTCTGTCCTTGCTCGGCTGCAGCAACGCCTCTGTCATGCAAGGTTATTTTCCTCCGCTCATTTACCCTTTGTTCATTTTTAGCATCATCTCTGTACAAGCCATCAGCCATCTCACAAAGGACAGCTGAGTACCTGCAGCAGCTCTCCAGGGTGCTGAATAGGATGACTGTGGGGTAGAAGGTGAGGGGGGGTTGGGCTGTATGTGAGTGCCTTTATAATTTCCTCATAGGATGGGGGTGGAGGTGGGGGTAGGCAAGAAGGGAGATGTACACCTGACATAATCATAAACTGACAAGTTTTACATTAAAGGTAAGAGAAAGCGTGATGGAGTAATTTGATATTTGCTCAAACAGGACGCAGAGAAGGCCTGTAAATGCAGTCGCTGACATACTTGCTCCATGTCTCCCCCTCATATCCAGGCTTTAAAGTATTCATAATCAATAATAATCTCTAAATGATGCTGTAGCTATTCTTCGCTCCTTTGCCTGTGTTATTCTACTTTCATTGGGGAGGTCAGATTTGTAAAATGCATCTTTTTGGGATGACTGCTGAGACAAGGTTCTCTTTCACAATCGTTTACCAATCGTGGTGAACAGCGACATCTGCTGGTAGTTTTAATATGTAATTTTATTCGTTTTAATTTTAGGATCGACATATAATGCATTTTTGTATTTATTTATTTAAGATCGTCATCTAATGCATTTTATCTGCATTAAGTAAAACATAATAAAAGTCCTTTATGGGGAGCAAAAAAAAAAAAAAATCGGAAAACACAAGTGCATGTCCAATGTATGTCAAAGTATTATCTTATTTAAGAAAACACACGCGCTCTTTCAGAAAGGATAGGTCTTAAATCGTTTTTCGTTTTCTAAATTACAAACAGAACTGAAACATGCGAAACCGTAAACTGTGTCGCAACTGCGCCATTACCAGCTTTCTCTAAACCGGTCAGGTGAGATTTCCGCCAAGCGGATGTAAGGTAGTTACCTAGCACAACAAAATCAAGACAGAGGGGAGCAAGAGCAAATCCGGAAGTGACGTAAAATAGCGTACAATTAAGTTGCTGTTATCCTATTAAAATAAATTAATTCTCATCCAAATTGAAAAATCCTTTTACAAAAAAATAGTTTTAATATAATATATAAACTTTCATTTGTTTATTTCCAATTAGGATAGTTAAAAAAAAGCATCAGAATCGAGTGTGTGGTTTTATTTTTGAAAATCACCGGATGTAGTATTTGTCGCACTCGCGCAGCTGTCATGGCCGCTGCTTCAGCTCCCGGCCGCTAGGAGGAACAGGGAGGGTTCCTTGTGTTTGGTCGGAGAGTGTGGAGAAGGAAGAGATACACATCCCAACACAAGAAGACTGGTCCGAACCGAAGCCACGACTGGCAGAAGAGGAGCCGTTTTAGTTTGACTTTTATTTTGACTTTCTTTTCATGGGGACGAGAAATGACATCTTCGACGGGCGAAAGGAGGGCGTTTGCTCATAAAATCAACCGGTGAGACCGAGACTCAAGTTATTGTTTCACTGCTACTAGTCACATTGACCCGCTGGACCGTATGCACACACATAGCAAGTATGCTAGGGTTTGAAATGAACTACAAAATAAACAATGCAGCATACAAAAGTTTATAACTGTTTATTAAAGCCGAGGACAAAGTATTCACCTGTATTCACCAATAAGCTGAAGGCTGTTCTGCAAGTTTTTAGCTGTTTGTTTGGGTGTGTGTTAAATCCTAAAAAATGCGTCTCCTTCAATAATATTTACATCGCTGTGAACTGGAAATCTTCTGTTTCACACGATTACACCTGCGGGTAATAAATAAGCTGCTTATCTGTGAGACCCATCTTTAAATAACGTCTTTTAAGTGTGAAGTCTGATTCTTGCCTGAGGCATTTTCCAGTCCTGTTACCTTCACAATAATTTACTACTGTCTTTAAGAAACGCCTTACTATTGCAGAACCAGATACTTCTTCCTAATCCTGCTATAAGACAAGGTGATAAATTATCATTCACTTGTCAGTGATTATTTTTTCATCCCAGTGAAAATCTTGTTTATCATTCCTGGTTTGTAACTTTGGTCTATGCTGCATCAGATGGTGGACCAGTTATTAATGTGCAGGGCTATTCACTGTATACCATAGCATTCCTCAGATCCTGTCTCCTGCAGCGGGTCCAAACCATTGTTATGTGCCGGATGCAGGAAAGGGTGGGGAATGGGCTCTCTAGCTATTGCTTTTGCAGCTGTTAACTCTCCTTTTCCTGTTTTCAGTTGAAATGTGCAGTTTTCTCACTACTCTGAGCTGCTTCATTAAGCACATGTAAAAAAACAACAACCCTGATGTGTAACTTGTGTCGTAATTAAAGCACGTTTTGCAGGTAGGAGCAGAGGAAAGCATGGATTCCAGCTCTAGTTTGTATCCTGGGTGGAAAGCATTTGCAGCTTTGATGATGATGAGTGAAACATGCAGTTTGTGGATCTAAAGAGACAGCTGTTTGCTCTCTCTGGGAGGATTGGGGTTTTCTCCTGCTTTGTCTTTCAGTTGGCCATTTGCTGTTGATAACAGTTTGGATCAGGGAGTCTGGCTCGGTGCCTGCTCTGGGGAGCCAGCTTGCTAAATCTCTGTGAGATCCAAGTTTCTAGCAGCTGCTGTCCTTCAGAATGGGAAATAAAGCTCTTTAGTTCATAAAGGATTTGCAAGTGGAGCTGCGTCTTTAACTTTGCTAGGAGACGTATAGATATTGAAAGTGAGAGTATGATAATCTCAGTAACAGATGATTACATTGACATCAAGCACACAAATATGCCAGTTTAGATTCAGTTATTTTTGTTGTTGCTTCTGGATTTGAACTTCATTTTTCTTCTTTTTTGTACTCAGGACGATTGCTGCAGATATCCGAAAACAAGTGACAAGAGACTATGGCTCACCTCAGCTCAACAAGAAACGAGGAGGTGCACACCACCCCGTGAGTCATCCTGTATTTAACATGCCAGAGTTGTAGGCCTGCAGGTTTGAAGTTGTAATTAACAAGTTCTACAAGCGAATTGGTGTATTAGTTTTAGGTTTATATATGAAGACGATGCAAGCAAAATCTGTGGAAAGGTCATTTAAAAAGTTCTTGTTGCACCTGATCTTAGTCAGTAATGTTTTCTTTTGTTTTCCAGGTAAGATTTAAACACACAAAATTATAGTTGTTTCAAAGGCTGTTCTTTAAATATCACGTTTTGTCATTTCAGTGCCTCTAAGATGTAAACTGCGCTTACATTTTTGTGAACACAAGTGTGAATAAGAGTTTTTTGTTTGTTTTAGACTTTTCGATGTAAAAGCATTAGGTATGAGCAAACATAGAGGTTGATAAGAGATCACTATTATTGCGGGACAATCCAATAAATATACGTGTTTTCTAAAAAACTGTGATGTGAGATCTTAAATCTAAAAATAAAACATATATTTATAGAAAACTACAGGTTTCTGTGATATATGAATTTAATCAGACAAAATCATATAAATTAAAACTTTTTGTGGCAAATGCTTTAGATTAGAAAGTTAAAAGATTTATATATATATATACATATATATATATTAATAACAAGTCTTATAAGTTGTGTTATTGTACATATGCCAGAAACTAATTCTGGTCTTTAATAATGTTGATTTGTCTCCTTATTGTTCTGTCCTTTGTAAATGTTTCTGGTCTAGCCGATCAGATTACAACCCTGTCATGATGGTCTTGCCATAGTTGTGGTACATAACATCCTAATGATTGCTGACAGTTGCCCCTGACGGAGGTGGTTGACCCTGTGGACTTCGAGGAGTATTTGAGCAGTCACCCTCCTGGGGTGGAGCTCGGCCCCCTCAGACAGCTTGTGGAGTTCCCCCAGGATGACCTTGAGCTCCTCCAGCAGGAGAAAGAGTGCACTACGTTGGAGCCCCCTCTGCCTGAGGAGGAGTAAGTCCAGCAGCTATTAAGACAGCTCAGGGTTTAATATTTTCCTTACAACCCCTCTAAGGGATTTATGTTACTGCATGCACAGTGTGCACTGTAATGGAGCGATTGCATTAGTAGGGAAAACAACTAAGCCTTTCTCTTTGCCACTGAATCAACATAAATATTGAAGCATGTGTTTCTAAAATATTAAAGAGCTTTTCTATGTAGCTCCCTGGATCCCAGAGTGAGAGATGCCTTGGCAGTCTACACAGATGACTGGCTTGTCATTCAGAGAAAGTAAGTGGCTCCAGTTGTGCTACTAAAAGAACAAGTTTCATTTGTTATCAGTTGTTAATGTTGACTATGTTTGCCTGTGTACGTTTAACACAATGAACAGTATCAATATTAAATTGACTTTTAAATTATTAATTCTTTGTTCCCCTGTAGATATCAGCACTACAGCACCACGTACACACCTCAAAACTCTGAGCGACAGAGAGAGAGGCAGCGAGGGCTGGTCAAACAGACCTTTGAACTGGATGAGGCTGCTGCTTCTGAGCGTCAGGATGACCAGGTAGCTGATAGTGATGTTCTACAGATTTACTATTTTAAACTGGCACCAGCCCACCTGCTGGCCATCGTGACATATTTCTGCTTTAAACACTCATGTAATTTCAATCAAGTGTCAGGTCACAAGTAGAGGATTTCTAGAAGCAAAACTCTAAAAGAAAAGTATAAATTCACTGAAACTTGTCATTTTCTGCACGAAATAATAGATAAAGATGATGGCAAGCCACTATAAGTTGCATTCATGTCAGCATCTGTTATAAATAGGAGGCCCTGTCTGCTGTCTTTTCTTTTGCTCATTCTTCTTGCAAATTCTATTAAACAGGTAAAAATGTAAGGGTATTGTGTTATTCAGGATGACTCAAAGAGGCGGTCAGTTAGCCTGGATGAGACTCCTCGGGGGAGCTGGGCCTCCAGCATCTTTGATCTGAAGAACTCCTCCCCAGATGTGCTGCTCCCGTCTGTGCTGGAGCGAACAGCAGCAGAGGACATGGACCGTCTCAACACTGAGGCACGCTCACAGGGACGCCACGGTGACCTGCTCGGCTTGTTTCCTCCCCCTGACGAGGTGTGTGCTTAGCTTGTACATGAAATTCAAATCCTGTGGAATAATTTCACAAACGAATACATAATTCTTGATATATCAGCTAGTTTTTTTTTTAGGGATGATTTGTTTTTGGCATCATTGCCTTTGTTAAAGTCAGAGGACAGTAATACTTATTTTAAAGGTATAAGGAATAATCTACCATATTTTCCAGTGTATAAGTTGCTCTGGAATATAAGTTGCATCAGTCAGAAAAAGCTTCATGAAGAGAAAAAAACGTATCTAAGTCACTTTGGCTTATAAGTCGCATTAAGTATGCATCACCACTGACCCGCCGCATTTATTATATACAGCTTCATTTTGCCTGGGTGGAGCAGCACCATCCATCCATCGCAGCCGAATCCCCTAGCTCTCCAGCATTCCTCCGCCTGCACCAGCTGAGTGAAGCGAGCAGGCACGGGAGGACTCGTTGTTGCAGTTCTTAGAAATTTTAAGCGTCAGTCAAAAATTGTGTTATGAATATAGACAAAAAATGTATATAAGTCACTTTGGCGTATACGTCGCAGGACTGACAAATCTATAAAATAAAAAAACTGCAACTTATATGCCGGAAAGTACGCTACATAGAAAACATAATGATGCATATATTCAGTGATTTTATTTTTAACTTTGTTCACAAACTACTTTAAACTTGAGAATTGAGTTTTCTGTTCTGTTGTCGGTCTTAAAAACAACAAAATCAGCCTTTTTTGTTAATTCTGGTTTAACTTATAGGCTGCTCAACTGCTGTGTTCATCTGCAGTCCTTTCTGTCCAGTTCAGTGCTAACTTTAAACTACTAAGAAGAAGGGACTCGGACTCCACACTGATCACTGACTGCACAATACTTTATACACAGACCTGCATACATGAATCATTCTTTATCCTCCTGAGACCTGAGCTCTGGTCTGAGATGCATTTTTCATATCTCCTGGATATTTGTGATTAGATGGACCCGATTTATGTATAAATAAAGCTTCCTCTTCAAACAGGAAGTTGTATTTTGTTACATGGTTATGACATACTTTTGTAAAAAAAAAAAAAGTCCTCATATGTGTAAAATGGGCTTATTTTACAGCATAACACAACATTGTTAACATGGCTTAACAAAGTATAAAACACTATTGAACAGAGTGAAGTATAAGGTACAGCAAAGCCAAAATGTAATGTCCCCATATGTGGATGCAGGGTCTCAGGAGGTTAAACCTGCATACAAAAGGTGATGCAACCTCTTACTATGGAGGAAAATATATCCATTATTTCTAAAAGCAAATCTTTGAGCTAGAATATATTAAAGGCTTTCACTTCTAGACTGAAATGTGCAAATGCTGCATTCTTTGCCAAATGTTGTCAGCAGGAATCCAAAGGAAAAATAGTGAATAGAGTGGCCTCAAAGATTTAAGACATTATTTCAGCAGCGCTGATTCTTCAAACTACCTGCTCTGGTAGAAATGTTACAACGTGTTGTTGCTGTTTCTGGGACGTTCAGTTGTGCTAATGTGCGCACATAAAGTGAATTTTATGCCTTTCTTTACTCCGTTTCCACATTTTCTTTCTTCATTTGTCTTTTTGTTTTATGTCTTGTGTACTCAACCTTTTTTGTCCGCTGTGACGTCTGTGTAAATGCTGACATGTGGCCTTTGTTTTCTTTGGCAGGATGAAGCAGTAGAGAGATGCGCTGTGCCTGAAGTGCCCAAAGAACATTGCGGTCAGAGGATTATGGTCAAGTGTCTGTTTTTGAAGTGAGGAACAAACTAATCAGCTTATTAACTTAAAAATAATAATAAATACTCCAACGTATTTCTTATTTCACAGCATTTGTTTGTCATGAATGTTTTCCAGGTTTGAAATAGAAATTGAGCCAATATTTGGATCACTTGCTCTTTATGACATCAGGGAAAAGAAAAAGGTATAATTTGTGTTCCATTCATTTTCTCTCTTCTTAGAATCAGCACTCGTACACTCAGTAAAGCCACTTGCGTAACTCTGAGCTCATAGTGGACTAATTGAATTTTCTTTGTCTGAAAAAGCTCTTAAGTGGTTTTGCAGATCAGATCATTAGGTCAAAACTCAATTAAAAACCCTTTAATGTGCATCACTATTATTGTTTTTCCATGTCCATTCTCCACTTTTCCCAACTTGTCTCTCTTCCCACTATGGTTCAACTTAACTTTTTCCCTTTTGTCTTTTCTCCATCAGATCTCTGAGAATTTTTACTTTGACCTGAACTCAGACCAGATGAAGGGATTGCTGAAACCTCATACACCTCACATAGCTATATCCACACTGGCTCGCTCGGCTATCTTTTCTATCACATACCCTTCTCCTGATATATTCTTGGTCATTAAGGTATTTAGAAGCTTGAAATGTATAAATCAAGAATAAGTGTTTCTGTTTAGTGGCAATAACCTTAAGCATGAATTGCATTTCAGCTTGAAAAAGTCCTTCAGCAAGGAGATATTGGTGAATGCTGTGAACCCTACATGGTGATGAAAGAATCTGATTCCTCTAAGGTAATGAAACCAATATGTGATGCTGTTGCAATACTTTGCACTTGCAGCCAGTGCACACGTTGGACCTTTTAAAAGTCTAGCCACACATATTACTCAATTCTGTCTGGACAGATGCAATATGTCTAATGTCCAGTTTGATGTGGTAACTTGGTTGGCTGATTCAGCATATTTTCATCCTCCTGTTCCACGGCAGCATAAGGAAAAGCTGGAGAAGCTGCGTCTTCAGGCAGAACAGTCTTGTACTCGTCTTGGTCGTTTTCGCATGCCTTTTGCTTGGACAGCCATCCATCTCCTAAACATCGTCAGCAGCGCGGGAAGTCTCGATCGGTCAGACCCAGACTCCGATTCTGGTACAGCTGACACCAGATGTTGTCTTTTTTTATGCACTCTATTCAAAACGTTCCTTTTTTCTACAAACAGAGCGTTCAGCCGTGCACATTAACAAAAGCATATAATTTTACATGTTTCGTCTTTCTGCTAGAACGAAAGGGTCTTGGAACCTGGAATGAGAGAAAGAAGAAGGGGTTTGAGAGGATAAGTGTCGGGGATGAGATGTGTAACTTTGCTACTTTCCGCCCAGCAACACTTACTGTCACCAACTTTTTCAAACAGGTCAGACTCTGTAAAAGTGACTTAAGACTCACTGAATGAAACTGGATAAAGATGAATTTTCTACACCAATCTGTTTTTATAGTTGAAGCAGTTCTGTTGTGCATCTGCAGGAGCAGGGAGTAACTCCTCTTCCACCTCTTTTCTTATCAGCACCTCCTTGCCTTAGAATAAACAATTTCAATTTTGTAACACAACTGAGCTCCTTCTCAGTGGCAATAATTATTACTTTGATGTTATTTAGCGTCTTTCTATTTTTTACAATTCTGTATACAAAACTAAACACGTTACGAACACTGCTTCTCTTTTTGTGTATACCAAGGAGGGTGATAGGCTGAGTGACGACGACCTCTACAAGTTTTTGGCAGATATGCGCAGGCCGTCCTCTGTCCTGCGACGACTGAGACCTGTCACTGGTAAACGTACTCATAGTCAATTATCTTCCCCTTCTTCATTATTTTCAGAGCTTTCTGGACTTCACCCTCACTAATCTTTCCCACTTCCTGGTCCACAGTTTCTATGACCTCGCTACTCTTCTTTCTCTTTCATTCTCTTCATGCATTAGCTCCTCAAAAAGTACTCCTTCCATCTTCCCATCACATGCTCCTCACTTGTTAGAACATTACCATTCATATCTTTAACAAGCCTAACCTGCTGCACATCCTTTCCAGCCTGATCCTGCTGTCTCACCAATCGGTACAAGTCCTCGCCCTAGTGTCCATCCTCCCATACAACTCATCATTTTTATTGTCTGTAGCTCATCTGTGTTCTTTGTTAGGTCTCTTGTAAATGAGTCCTCGTGACTCATGAGACTAACCTGTATAAATAAAGGTTGAATGAATTAATGAATATTTATATGAAATTGTGTGACTAAATGCCTAAAGGTCTATCACTGGTGTTGATTTAACTTTCTTTTTTTTTGGTCTTGTCGTGTATCATTTATTGTAGCTCAGCTGAAGATCGACATATCTCCAGCTCCAGACTTGCCGCATTATTGTCTGTCACCGGAACTGCTGCACGTGAAGCCTTATCCAGACCTGCGTGTTCGGCCCACCAAAGAGGTGCTGGAGTTCCCCGCTCGCAATGTATACACACCGTACATCACCTATAGGTGAGTGTTCAGCCCGCGAAGGTGCACCCACGTAAACAGAAGCTTGACCTATTGAACAAATGTTCACCCAGTCGTTGCATGCGTGCCTGTGCACGCGTAGCTTTTTGGTTCTGCTTTCATGTCATTCTGTAGTTTTACAGAAAACAGAATAAATTCTTTGTTCAAATATAATTTTATTGACATGATGTATTTTTGCGTTTAAGACGAAAAAAGAACAAAAGCAAGTGATTAAAAAAAAAACTTGTTTAAAGTATGTACAAATAAAAAATAAATCTAATACAGTTTTTAATAAATTAGCTACCTTTTGTGACATTTTCTTTTTAAAAGCATTGCTATTAACATGAAGACATAAAGGACACAAAACATCAAACAGGACAAAAACAAGGTTAAATTAAAAACATGTGAATCCACAGCACATCTCATATTGTCTGTCCAAACAGGTCTCACTTGTAAAAGAGTCTTTGAGGCTCAACGTGATTTATCTGTATAAATAAAGGTTGTATTGAATTGAATATCTTAGTCAGAAGGGAGTGCAGCGAGATTGAGGAGTTGAGCTCTAGATAGACTTTATTCAGAGCAGTGGTGCATCTTGAAACGTCTACGCCATCACTCCACTCTAGAAGAAGGATGAAAAACAGAAAAGTTTGTGGAATTAAACTGGTTAAAATAAAAAAAATCATAAAATGTGTTGGAACTAGCAATTTACCATCTTCTGCAGTTTGGAGAGCTGCTTGTTCTGATTTTTGATATTCTCTTTTTGAAACTGCGTGAAAAGTTGTAAATTTTGCAAGATGTTGGAGTGCTCCTCAGCTCGATCCTAAAGGATGAAGTTACAAATTAAAACATGGTTTATTAGATTTTTGTGACACTGAGTTATGTTTAAGTGGTTTTGGGGGGGTTCAGATTTACCTTGAGCTCCTTGATGCTGAGTGCAGGGTTGCTGAGGAACATCTCCAGCCTTTCCACTTTTGTCTTCAGTTCCTCCTCGTCCTTCTCCAAGTTATTCAGCTGGGTTTTAGTCAGCCGAGTCTGAGCTTGTTGCTTTGCCATCTGGGCCTGACAAAAGAGCATCTGCTCACGTTATTCTCTTGTTCGACAACGGTCTCAGTGAAGCTGGCAGCTGCCTGTCCCAGAATGTAACATACATCTCTAAGGCTCTTCAGTACTTTAGCTTGAATGGACAAACATGTTCTATTCATGAACAGGAGGAAAAAACAGTAAATGAAACCATCATGAGGTGATTATGAAAAGGAATAGTTAGAACTAAAGTAGGTGATGTTGTTTTAGTTATGTCTATAGCAGTTTAATCTGATGGGGACTCACTTGATACGCTGCCTGGACCCTGCTCTACTTCTGCATGTTTTTCCACACATTATCTCAGCTTCACATGAAGAATTCATTGTTTACATTGTTCCTACCTGTAGCAGCTGTACGTCTTCTTTTATCTGTTGCTCCGTTTCTGCAGCCTGCTCGGTTTGCTTCCCCAGCCTTTGGAGCGTATCTTCATGAGCCTTCAAGGTCCGGCTGATTTTCTTCATCTTTGCTTCAGTGGTTTCAAACGCATAGCTGAGCGATTCACCTAACTGTATGACTCCAAACATGAGCACGTTGACTTCTTCCTGTGGCGCGGCCCTGTCAGCTGTCTGGCCGGTCTTCCTGATGGGGTTTGCATGGACTGCTCTTAAACCGCCAGCTACACAAAGCAGGCACAGACTCCAGATCATTCTGATAACTCTTTCCTAATCACTTTTCTCAGGTGTTTAAAATGTGCTGTTCTTTCCTACAGCAATATGCCCAGTTCCCTCCAAAAAAGGTTTTTTGACGCAAACTTAGAAATTATTGCTGTGAAAATATGTTTCAGTCTCAGAGCTGTGCAGAAGTTGACATCAGCTACAAGATGATGAATCTGGAGGCTTGTGTGCCTTTTATAGTGAGTGCACATGCAGTGTGTTAGTAAAACATTAGCCTTTTTGTGGTTTGATCACAGGTCTAGTGCATGGCCTTGGTCTCAGTGACCTTCTCTTGAAGCATGACCACCTAGACTCTAATTTTGGCATTTAGGTCACAAACTCTTGCACCGTTCACTCTAATATATGCAAAACATTTGTTCAAAGCTAAAAAAAAACAAGTATCGGAATATGTGCAGTTATTTGTTCGTGTTTAAATTTTTCAAGGAGAAAATTCAGCTCCTCTTTGACATGTCAAATATCAGCTGTTTCAAAATATGAACAATATTTACTCCTGATGTTTGTTTTGGACAGGAGGTGGTAACATTTACTAGTAAAAAAAAAAACAGTGCTGGGTCACATGTGTGCACATTTTCTGAGATCCAGACTTTTCAGGTTTGTCAGGAATGATTGAAAAAATTATACGAGATATTATTTTTGTAGCTGACAAAATGACAGAATTGGGAGGTAATAGAAGATCAGTTATCACAGCTTTACATTTATGAACGTCAGCTTTTCTTGTCTCCCCTTTCTTCCTCGTTTTCATGCAATATTCGACCTCCCAGGAACCTTCTCTATGTTTACCCACAAAGTCTGAACTTCAGCAGTCGTCCAGGGTCAGCGAGAAACATCGCTGTGAAAGTTCAGTTTATGGCTGGAGAAGACCCCAGCCAAGCTTTACCGGTGAGTTACGCTCAACGACAGTTGATCATGTGACTGTTAAGCTTGTAGGAAAATGAAATGTCAGCTACATAAAAAAAACTGAAAGCAGTGATATAGATGTAGTTTTTTTAAAAAGTTGTGTGACTTCTGTGTTTTGGACATTTCTTTTTAACAATGCACACTACTGTATCTTATATCTGATAATTGAAATACCCATGCCCTGGAGATTAGAATTGAGAAATAAATATATTATAAAAAGTGAAAATATCAAAACATTTTCAAAAACCGGACACTGGACAGTTTCTTTTTTTGTTGAGACGTTTCATCCAAAGGACTTCATCAGTCCAAGGAGCCACAACAAACTCAGTCCCACAAGCAGCACACTCCCATAATGGACCAACCAGTTTGCTGGTGATATGATGGTTTCTGGGGCCCACCCTCTCCCCCCTCAACGACTCCGAGGCAGCCATAGCCAAAGTGGTTCAAAACATCAAAGTCCATGCTCGATAATCCAGGTAAAAAAATCCAACAAAGTTCAGTCAGGTCATCTGGATGGTTTCTTTTTTTGCTGAGACATTGCGTCTTTCATCCAAAGGACTTCATCATTGATCCATTGATTATTGAGCATTAACTTTGATGTTTTGAACCACTTTGGCCATGGCTACCTGAGAGGAGTTGATGAGGGAGAGGGCGGGCCCCAGAAACTATCTTATCAACATCAAACTGGTTGGTCCACTATGTGAGTGTGCTGCTTGTGGGACTTTTTTTTAACCTGGATTATTGAGCATGAACTTTGATCTTTTAATACTTTTTTTAAAAAGTTTTTTAATACTTGGTCTTATAAGGGGCTGCTGCTTAATGTGCATCAACTTTTATTTTCACTATCAATTTTATTTATATAAAACAACACAAGGGTTAACACTGCAGTTAAGAATGATCATTCTTTCTTTAAAAATTTAAATTGGGTCTAAGGAACTACTAATAATCTTTGATTAGATGACTTAAGGGTTTTCTTGAAGTGTTGCGCAAGTTTCACAAGTGAAAAATATACACCGAACTTTAATCATTCAAAGTTGTGAAAGTTAACACCCAGATTTTAAACTAATTTTAAAAATACAAGTAACCGCTGAATGTACAAAAAGAAGTCATGTTTTATTTTTATTTTCAATTTGAAGCCTTGCTGCAGAATTTTCTTCCCTTTGAGTACAATTAAATACTTTTTCATTAAGGCAAGTAAAGACAAGGCTCATGAGTGACTTCTCAGTTAACCTTTAAGTTTTGTGAAGAAACGCCTGTAGACTTTTGAATAGTTTGTGTCAAATAAAACTGTAAATCACACAGTTTACCGTGTGAACCTGAAGGCCACAGAGACTGTTAAAGAAGAGGCTTTGTATAATTGACGACCAGTTTTATACCGTTTCCTTTTGGACCAGGTTTTCTTTGGCAAATCCAGCTGTGCTGAATTTATGAAAGAGGCGTACACTCCCATCATCTACCACAACAAGTAAAGTCCAAGCACCCGTCAGTCTTTTATCTGAGTCGGTCCAACTCCTTATTTCCAATCGTCTTTTTGTTAAATGTTGTTTAACTTTTACTTATCAGGTCCCCTGAGTTCTATGAGGAGATGAAGATGAAGATTCCTGCCAATCTCACAGACAACCATCATCTTCTGTTCACCTTCTACCACATCAGCTGCCAGCCCAAACAGAACACTCCTCTGGAGACCCCCGTGGGCTACACTGTGAGTAGACTCTTGGCTTACATTTAATGCTTCCACCCACACATTTCACTCGTCTCACAGCTCTTTTTGTGAGAGATCGCATGTCTTTGTGCCTGTAGTGGATACCGTTGATGCAACACGGCCGACTACGCACCGGCTCCTTCAGTCTTCCCGTGTCTGTGGAAAAGCCTCCGCCTAGCTACTCTGTGCTCACTCCTGACGTCAGTGTTTTTCTATAAACTATAAGAATATCAATTCGCCTGCCGTCACCTGTTCCTTTGTGAGGCTGCTGTGAATCAAATGAGTTCATTCTCACTCTTGCAGGTTCAGCTTCCAGGCATGAAGTGGGTGGATAATCACAAAGGAGTGTTCAATGTCGAGGTGATGGCAACCTCCTCTGTTCACACTCAGGTACACAAATATGTTCATTATGCTGAGTTTTCTACATACCCTTGTGCTGTTTTCTTTTTGCGTTAAAGCCTTAAGCTGTATTAATTTAGTCTAAAATATCCACTCAGACTTGTATAATAGAATGTAAAACGCTTTAGGTACTTTTGTATCATTATTATGACTCGTGTTACAACCAATTAGTATCATACAGTAGTGAATAACAGCTTTGTAGAAATCTGTAGCAGAGAATTCCTGTAATTTCACAGTTACCGTATTTTTTGGACTATACGCTGCACTTAAAATCCTTTAATTTTCTCAAAAATTGACAGTGAGCCTTATAATCCAGTGCACCTTATCTATTAATTCTTGTTGTGCTTACTGACCTTGAACTAATTTTATGTTGTTATTGTGAATGAGTTGAATAAAGTTGACTTATCTGACTGTTTACTTTCGCTTAATGCGCCTTATAATCCGAAAAATACGGTATGTGAATTCTGCTGATAAATCTGCATTATTGTTCTACCTCTAGGATCCCCACCTGGATAAGTTTTTTACTCTGGTCTACGTTCTTGAGGAGTACTCCTTCCCTTTCCGCCTTAAGGATGTAATTATAACTGAGGCCAACATGGAGGCGGAGCTTAAGGCCAGCATGGCAGCTCTGAGAGGTGCTCAGCTGGATACCTGCGTCAGGTTCTTACATCAGCTGCTCAACAAACTCATCCAGCTCATCGTGTACCCTCCAGTCATTGCAGGCCAAATTGGTGAGTGGGTTGTTTTACAATTGGTCCTACTTTAGGAGATCTGAGGTGTTTTTATTTTATTTTATTTGAAAATAACGTTTATAAATAATAATAAATGTACTTCAAAATATCACTAGTGAATCTGGGCCGAGCCGCTTTTGAAGCCATGGCTCTGCTGGTCAACCAGATCCATAAAAACCTGGAAGGAAACCAAGATCAGCATGGCCGCAACAACCTGCTGGCATCTTATGTTCATTACGTCTTCCGTCTGCCCACTGCTGAACCGGCATTGCCCTCAACAGGTGAGTACTGCACTGTGCAACCTGCTCATAGGAAGCAGCAAAAACAGGTTAAAGCTCATCACTTTGTCAGGCTTTTCTATCTTTATTTATTATTATACGTGTCCCTTTTGTCTCCTGAGAAGCAGGCCTCCAGGCCTATGAGATGCCTATGCAGTATGCTACCTTGTCCAGGGTAACAGCCCGCCCAAGCAGTCTTCAGCTGTCACGTTCAAAAAGTATTAGCAATTCCAATCCTGACCTGGCTAGCACACCAGTTTCCCCGGACGAAGAAGTCCAAAGGATCATAGGAAGCAAAGTGAGTTTCAGATTTTACATTAAATATGATCTCAAGGTTGTTAACGTTCAGTGATTTATTTTATTATACCCTTTGTTTAATTTTAAAAATTTATTTTAAACCAGTTATTTTTGATTTAATGGCAATGTCTTGACTCTTCACAGCAAATTCAATGACCTCGAGTCGACTGAAAACTGTGCCAGCAGTAAATCACTGCCTAGTCATTTGTGCTTTGTGCCTTTTTTTCTTGTTTCTGTTAGTTCCTCCGTTTTGTTCTCCCACATTCCCCTCTCTTTCATCCTCATTTTAATGTCCTAACTTTTTTAATTTCTTCCTGATTTTCACCCTTAAATAATATTTTGTGATTATTACCCTTCCTTTACTCACTGTGTCCTTGCCTCTCGCCACACTTTGTGTGTGTTTGTGTGTGTGTCATCGGTGGCTTATGGCAGGGTATTGACCGTTCCCACTCCTGGGTAAACTCTGCTTATGCCCCTGGGGGGTCCAGATCTGTGCTACGCCGGAACCCCAACTCCAGCTGTGAGCTCAAGCAGGTGCCAAATCGTCCTTCCTCCTCCTCATCTCCATCTCAAATGATCTTTTTTATGCGTTTGTGTCTGCATGCCTCATTCGCTGCATCCCTCGTTCTACTTTTTTATATCATTTCCATCTTCTCTGTCATTCCAAATTCATCTTTTCTCTGCTGCCTAACAAGCCGTTTGTCTGGCATCCAACTGACAAAAGCTCCGCCTGAGGCTTTTTAAGATTTCTTTCCAATCTTGCACTCATCTGAGTTCACAGAAAAGCTCTCTGGTCATTCACCCATTCCCTATTCACCCATTTTCATGTCACTCTTTTCATCCCTGTGCTCACCTCACCATCACTTCATGTCAGGCAAGCGACCAGAGCAGCAATCGCATGTCTGCCTTTTTGGACAGCGTGGCCTTGTTAACTGTTCCCACAAGGCAGATTATAAAGAAGGTAAAACTGGAATCTAATGGAAAAATAAAACAAATAAAAGTGGCATTCTTAACAAGAAACCTAACACATACTGACTTACATTCATGACATGTTATCATTAACATTCATTATATTTAACAAATGCATTTCTGAGGTGGTTTGAAATGTGTCTTTATAAAAGATACTGAATAAAGTAAACTTTTATTGGACTATCATTAGTTTCATTTAATTAGGTATATTTTTATATAAACAAAATGTATGTTTTTGTTAGAATTATGAAAGGAATTGACTAGTTTTTAGTATTTTTTCTTAGACTTTTACATTCAAAATTTATTATAGATGACTTTTAGTTAATTCAACATAGAACCATTCTAAATTGGTAAAGTTTTGTTGTAAAATGGTTTCCTTAATGTTAAATGTGCTGTTGCTACGTGTTTAGTTGCTCCACGAGGAGCTGGCATTACAGTGGGTGGTCAGTACCAGCACCGTGAGGGAAGCAGCTCTGCAGCAGGCCTGGTTTTTCTTCCAGCTAATGGTCAGTATATATATATATATATATTTATATTATAAAATATTACAATACCTTTCACTGTATATTACGGGTGCACCACCCCGATTTCCTTAATTTTGGGAAATCGGAAATCGGCCGATACTTGCATGAGAAACCGATTTTACAGATTTTTTTTTAGTTTTAACAACAATTTTTTAAACTTCATTTATATTTCTGAGCACTACCTCATGGCCAGTTAAAACAAGTTTGTATTGTTTCTAGGATATTGTTCAAGGGTATGTTTTTCAATAAAATAAGATTGGAAAATTGAAGGTGCATGGTGACCTTATAACACCTGACAGTGTTGCTTATAAAACTAAATCGGTATCGACCAAAATTGGAATCAGCAGGTCAGACTTTTTAGAAATCGGTGATCGGCCAGAAAACTGCAATCGGTGTACCCCTACTGTATATGGCTGTATAATTTAAGTACTTCTACAAGGAATAGATCAAAATCCTAGGTATTATGACAAGAAAGGCAATATTATCATAAAGTGTTAAAGTTTTCTTTTCCAAACCTTCCTACAGACTAAAAGCATGGCTCATCACTTATTCCTGACCTCCAAACTGGACGTCCCCAGGCGTCAGCGTTTCCCAGATCGCTTTGTTGATGACATTGCTGCACTTGTGTGTGCCATCAGTGCAGACATCGCCAGTCGATACCACAAGGTACGAAGCCCTCAAAGATGCCCCACACTGAAGAACGGCCTGCTTTCAGTCCATTTAATAACAAGCTGAGCCCTCTGAACAACAAAAACGAGTGATTTTCATGTCAGACAGAATGTTTTTGTGTCTCTTACCTACAAATGGAGCATTGTTGATTGTTTTGAATATATAATAGTTTTTCTTGTGCAGTGCTTCCATTTCTACATACTATCTTCCTCAATATTGATCTTTCTGTTTTTCTTTCTCCCTTAAAACCTCTTCCTCCCTGCTTCTTTCAGGATGTGGAGCTTGTGGAGAGGTTAAATAGCAGTCTGGCCTTCTTCCTGAATGATTTGCTGTCTCTCATGGACCGGGGCTTTGTCTTCAACCTCATTCGCACCTACTACAAACAGGTGCTCATTGATCTCTGCTTCTTTTCCCAGTAACGTCAAACAGACTAAAGGTTTTACTTCTCGTCTGACTGTTGTCCGTGAAATTGTGTGTTTAATAGATTGCTAACAAGCTCCATACAGCACAGAATCCCAGCTCTCTGAATGCCCTGAGGATGGACTTTATTCGTATTGTCTGCAGCCATGAGCATTACGTTATCCTCAACTTACCCTGCTCTACTCTGAGCCCTCCAGCGTCCCCCTCCCCATCCACCTCGTCCACAACGTCACAGGTACTGGAGCAGGCGGGAAAATTAAATATGACTGAAGAAATAAACAGAGTGTGAATGCTGAGTGCATGAGTGTACAGGATAAGCTAAAACTTGAGGTTTTAAAGCTAAAAGATCAAAACGCTAGCTAAATGATAAAAGTAGGATAAAAGCTAGCTAAAGTTAGCATAGGTCTAGCTAAACATGGACAAATGGTAGCTAGAAGTAACAAAAGGAAAGTCAATATAACAATATACTAGTTAAATGCTAATAGTAGCAAAATGCTAGCTTTAAGCTAAAATGAGCTAAACATGTTGCTCATATAAATGGCTAAAGTAGCACAAAATGTACAGAAAATACACACGGAAAAACTATTGTTAACTCTGATTCAGCCTTTACACAAATAATTTGAACTTACGTTAATGTAAACAATTAATGTTCTGTGTTTTAAATGTTGTTCCCACATGGAACAGGTTTTTATTTCCCAACTTTTTTTTTTTTAATTCATCGTTTTTTATTATTTTGTTACAGAGTTCAGCATTTTCAAGTATGGTGCAAGACCAGGGTGTGGCCACCATGTTTGAACTCTCCGTCCCGTTTCGCCAGCAGCACTTCCTGTCTGGCCTGCTGCTCAGTGAGCTCTCTCTCATTCTTGACCCTGAAGGCGAAGGGTGGGTTCTTTGTAGAAGTCTATGCCTCAGTGAAAAAGTCTTTCAGAGTCCCTTAATTGATTTCACATAAAATATAATGAAACTTGAAGCATTCTGTGAGAAGTACAACAGAGATGAGTGACCAGTTTATTCTGTCCCCTGCAGGGTTTTCTTCCTCCATAAAAAGGCTATCAGTGCTGTTCACTCCCTGCTGTGCAGCCATGATGCAGACCCTCGCTACAAGGACTCTCAGGTCAGAGCCCACCTTGCTAAGCTCTACCTGCCGCTCGTCCCCATCGTCATGGAGACACTGCATCAGCTCCACGACTTCTGTGGTCAGCAGAACTTTATGTGCAGCTAATATGGTTTTCCTCTGCATAAAGAATATTTCACTTGCAGCAAACTCACCTGAGAGTTCTCTTCTCATTTCTTTGCAGACTCTTCCGCTCGTGTCCGCCTTGCTTCTACCATCGCTGAAGATATTGACCCAGACAGTGGCAACATTATTAGTCAGTCTGTTGCTATGGCAATTGCCGGCTCTCCTTTGCCGCATGCCAAAGCAAACCCATTTGCACTCCCCTCTGTGGTAAGTGATAGCAGCAAGGGTCAACCTGTTCCCCTAGGCCCTGCAGGCTGATGGGTCACAGATCAGCCTCTGTGTAAAAGGAAACTTCTTCAGTTTGACAAAAGATTTCTCAAGAAAAATACTTGCTTAAAACAACGTTCAGCACTTTTTCATTATTTTTTTTAAGGTTGTTTGCTCTTTTGTCCTGCAGGTGGCTCTCTGTTCATCTTCTTAACACTTTTGTTCTGCTTTGAAGAATGTTACAAGAGTGGCTTTGCATATGTGTGTTTATCTTTACCAGGCTCCTCGCCAGTCCAGCTCTCTGTCTGCTGAGTGCAGCAGAACCCTGCTGGTGTGTTTCCTGTGGGTGCTGAAGAATGCAGATGCAGCTCTCCTGGAGCGCTGGGTTTCTGATTTGTCTGTACTGCAAATCAACCGTTTGCTGGATCTGTTTCATCTCTCCGTCTCCTGCTTTGAATACAAGGTACAATAACTGCAAACTTTTTACAAGTTGAGTAGCATTTTATTACTCCTGTGTCATGCAATAGCAATAGGCAGGAATCAAACTTGCTAATTCTTTTGTCCTTCCACACTCAAAAGCTGCTTTTAGAAGGGAATTATTTACAAAAGAACTATTCATGACCATTTTTTTTCATAAAAAATTTATTTTGATTTAATCAACTACCTATTTATTTATTTATTTATTCATTTATTCATTCATTTAAAATAAACAAAACAAATTCATCAAAAAGAAAAAACATTGAATGAAAAGGGTGCAGAAAGGAGAAAAAAAACTTACATCTGCCCCTTGTTTAAATAAATAAATAAATAAATAAATAACTTCAAACAAACAACAACCTACACTTGAACAATCTCCACATTGAAAACAAAAACCATCAGGCATCCTTCACCTGGCACCATACCTTCCTTACAATTAACTATTATTGTTAACTAATCCCAACTATTAACTCTAATTCAAAAATATTTCAACTTTATATTGGGGTTTCTGCAGAACTTTATAAAGAGTCTAAAATGTAATCTTTTAAATTTTAGGCCTTAGGAGGGAATGCTCCTGGGTCGGCGTGGGGAATTCGGCCTCCGGTGGATGAGTTCAAGTATCTGGGCGTCTTGTTCACAGAGTGATGGCAGGATGGAGCAGGAGATGGATCGGAGGATCCATCCTCAGTAATGAGGGCGTTGCTTCGGTCAGTCGTGGTGAAGAAAGAGTTGTTGAAAGGCAAAGCTCTCATTTTACTGGTCAGTCAATGTTCCAACCCTCATCTATGGTCATGGAGTTTGGATCATGACTGAAAGTGTCAGTAGAGGTGGTTCAGGCATCTGATTGAAATGCCTCCTGAACGCCTCCCTGTGGAAGTTTTTCAGGCTTGTCCCACTGAGAAGAGCCTCCTGGGTAGTCCCAGACTTCGCTGGAGGGATATTAGATTTTCTCTAGGCTGGGAATGCCTCGGGGTCCCTCAGGAGGATTTGGATGGTGTCACTAGGGAGAAGGATGGTTTCTCTCCTGGACCTGTTGCCTCTGTGACCTGACTATGAATAGACGGTTAGAGATGGAGAATGTTGATCCTAAACAGCCCAAATTTTCCATTTTTTATCTTAAAATACGTTCCCTCCTAAATTTGTACACTCATTCATTGCTTCATCATCAACTTTTTTATATTCGTCTGCGTTCATTAATTCTTTGTGTTGTAGTTTTGTAGCTCTAATTAGAGCCTGCCTTGTAAATGAATGATTGCTCTGCACCTGAAACTTATGTCTTGTAGTATTTTTATAATTTGGATTGAATTTGATTTTAAATGAAGGGCGATAAAAATAGGAAAAATTTCAAAATGACTCATATTATTCATATTGGTTTTAAATTTGAATCGTAATGTCATTAAAAGTTCATAAATTTAACAGTGCAATTTTCATTAACTCTCTTCTACGCAAACACCAGATGTCAAGGAAAACGTGATCAGATGGGTCCAGACATTTTTCACAGTTGTTGTTCGCAGCTGTGCATCACAAACTGGGATTTCCTGCTGGAAATGTGTTCTCACGGCATGAAATATAAGCAAGTGTGTGCAGCAGCTACTCAAACTAGGATTCACACTTAAAGGCTTAAAGTAATGCTGAAAAGAACTGGCTCTTGTTTTTGCAAATTGTTCCACCCATAGCTCTTGAAAACATTTAATAGGGGTGTTTAAATGCAACAGGAAATCCAAAACAAGCGCTGGAGACGTGTATTTTTACTCTTCACCTCTCCAGAAAATGTATAGATTCTAAAGTGAATCAAGTGTAAAAATGATTTCAGACTTTTGCAGAGTGAATAACTAAATTTAAGAAATCTGATTTTCTAACAGTAACTTTGTGTAGCCATCCTCGAACTGAAAGTAATATCTAATGCATTAAACATTGTTTAGTAAACAGAGGCACATCTGTTTTCCATTTTAATTGTTTAACCACTCACTGTGAAAATGACTGGAATAATCATTTGTTTTGCAGGATGCTGTTATTTAATAAGTGTGCTTCAAGTATTTTTTAATATATTAGTGGTCAATATCTTTGTTTTCTTATTTTTATTTCTAAAATGGGTGAAAAAAAATAAAACCTACTTCACACATTCATGCATCTTTCACTATACATTTGTGCTGCTCGGATAATTTCTGTCTGATTTTGAACATCATTTTTGCAGGGGAAGAAGACTCTGGAGAGAATCAACAGCCTGACATTTAAAAAGTCTCAAGACATGAAGGCCCGGCTGGAGGAAGCTATCCTGGGTACAATAGGAGCCCGCCAGGAGATGGTTCGCCGCTGTAGAGGTAAATATCAAGGGAACTCCATATTATAGCTGGGAAAATGTGATTTGTTCACTGAAATGTTTTTGTTCTCACAGAAAGAAGTCCTTATGGCAGCCAGGAGAATGTCAGGTGGAGAAAGAACGTCACTCACTGGAAACAAAATACAGACAAAGTTGACAAGTATGTCTTTATTTTAGCAGAGAAATGCTAACGTTATGCTGTACTGTCAGACAAAAAGAAGTGATGACTATTCTAAAATATTATCTTCCAGGAGTAAGGCTGAGATGGAGCAGGAGTCCGTGGTGGATGGAAATCTGGCTACTGAGGCCTCTCTGATCATCCTGGACACATTGGAAATTATCGTAAAGGTAAAAACAGAAAAAAGATGCGCTTTTCTTTCTGTCATCACACGGTGTTGCCCTTCTATGTAAGTTTTATTTTTTGACGTTTATGTCTCTGTCGTCTTTCAGACTGTGGTTGCATCTGAGCTGAAAGAAAGCGTTTTAGGCGGGGTTCTGCGAGTTCTTCTCCACAGCATGGCAGGCAACCAGAGCGCCCTCTTTCTGCAGCACTGCTTCACTACACAGAGGGCTCTTGTTTTTAAGGCAAGAGCAGTTTCTAATAGTGTACAGTATTAACCGCGTCACTAGATTTTCTGTTGATTTTGTTATTTCTCACTCAGAACCTTCAAATTGCAGAAAATATAAAGAGACTGTTCGTCACAGGTTTTCATCTTTGTGTAAGCTTTATTAAAAATGTGTGTTTTGTGCAGTTCCCAGAGATGCTCTTTGAGGAGGACACGGAGCTTTGTGCAGATTTGTGCCTGCGTCTCCTCCGTCACTGCAGCAGCAGTGTTGGTCCAGTCAGAAGTCATGCATCGGCATCTTTGTACCTGCTCATGAGGCAGAACTTTGAGATTGGAAATGTAAGTATGAAATTGGTTTACCTTGTATGCTTTAGCCTCTTAATAGTCTTGTTGTTACTCATGACTTTACAAATGATCTAATTTTTATTTTCTATTAGAACTTTGCCCGAGTAAAGATGCAGGTCACCATGTCTCTGTCCTCGCTGGTGGGAATGTCACAGAACTTCAACGAAGAGCATCTTCGTCGATCATTAAAGACAATTTTAACGTACGCTGAAGAAGACCTCGAGCTGCGAGACACACCGTTCCCAGAGCAGGTAGATGACCTCTAACACTGTTTCAGGCTGTTTTTCTAAACTGCTCAAATGGAAAATATTTAACGAATGTGATGTTTGTACAGGTCCAGGATCTGGTCTTCAACTTGCACATGATTCTGACTGACACTGTAAAGATGAAAGAGCATCAGCAGGATCCGGAAATGCTCATCGACTTAATGTACAGGTAATGGGATACCAGTGAAGAAGGCAGGTAGACCGAGAAAGTGTTGTATGTATGGAATTGTTTCTTTGTTCGTTTCAGGATTGCCAAAGGCTACCAGAACTCTCCTGACCTTCGTCTGACGTGGCTTCAGAACATGGCAGGGAAACACTCTGAGAGAGGGAACCACGCCGAGGCGGCCCACTGTCTCGTTCACAGTGCAGCGCTGGTGGCAGAATACCTCAACATGCTGGAGGATTGCCGCTACCTGCCGATTGGCTGTGTCACATTTCAGGTCAGTTCAAGCAGTTCAGTTTAGTAACTTTTGGACAAACTTAAACATCCTAACATTTGTTGTTTTTCACACAGAATATTTCATCTAATATATTAGAGGAGTCAGCAGTATCGGATGACATCTTGTCTCCTGAGGAGGAAGGCATTTGTGCCGGGAAGTATTTCAGTGAGTCTGGTCTGGTGGGCCTCCTGGAGCAAGCAGCTTCCTCCTTTAACATGGTACGACTCACATTCTCTGACTCCATGGTGACAGGCTGCGTGCAGCCAGACATGGCAGCATTAACATGGCTGAGAAACAGTTAGGTGATTGAGTGGTTTGTTTCATCGTCGTCGTAACCACAGGCGGCGATGTATGAGGCTATAAATGAAGTCTACAAGATCCTGACGCCCATCCATGAAGCCAACAGGGACTTTAAGAAGTTGTCAACTGTCCACGGAAAGCTGCAAGATGCTTTCAACAAAGTCTACAGCCAAGTTAGTTACCAGTCTGATCACAAGCAAATAAAACATAAACCTCACTTTAACCTGCATCTAATGTTTGTCTTCTCATTTCTTAATGTTTCCAGAGTTCAGGATGGGAGGTAACAAATTCAATACTTTTATCAAGTATAACCAGTTTAAAACTGATTAAATACTGTGTATTTCCTTTTAGCATTGATAACCTTATTTCCCATATTATTTCTTTTTCCCCAATTCTACATGGACAACGTTAATGGTGAGTGAGAATGACAGTTTCTTCCTTTTTTGCTTTTTTCTGCTGTTCAAAACCTTTTTACATATACTTTTAAAATCAAGATGAAACATCCAAAAGCTACATTATTGTCCACCAACTCAAATGGGACATAAATATATTTTCATCTTAATTACATGTATGTATTTATTTCCACCAGCTGACTTAACTTGTTGCGTCTTCTTTCTTGTTGTCCCTTCCACAGTCTCCAGAGAATGTTTGGGACCTACTTCCGTGTTGGTTTTTATGGGTGCCAGTTTGGAGACTTGGACGAGCAAGAGTTTGTCTACAAGGAGCCTTCAATCACCAAATTAGCTGAAATCTCCCACAGGCTTGAGGCAAGTACCGTACTTGCTGCCATATAAGTCGCATCAGTCCAAATATGTCTAATAAAGTGGGAAAAAAACATAAATACGTCGCTTCACCGTATTATGCGTCACCGCTGACGTGTCGTGTTTGTTACGCGTCACTACTGACAACCCAGAACTGTGGGCCGGTGTTGTGCCAAAAATCGATTGGCTGCCAAATGGCGGCCGCAGGAGCGTGCACGGGAGGAATTAACAAGAATTTAACAAGATTATCACTGAAAAACAATTATTTGTTTGCTCAAAATTATAGCAAAGGTGTGTCTCAGTTGAACTTTTCCTTAATAAATGCAATATATTGGTCAAATCAGCTGCATTTCACCTGGGCGGCGCGACGAAATGCAGCTGATTTGACTTTTGCTCCAGGAGTTTCGGCGTGAGAAGAAGGTGGTTGTATGGCAAGCCAAGTGTCTCATTAATAGCCACTTTTACCTATTAATGAGACACTTGGCTTGCCATATTAGTTGAGGGTCCTCTAGTGGCTGAAAATGGTAGTGATCAATATTCTCCATGTCAGAATTAATTAAATCATCAGATCTCAGCCAAAAATTGGTTATAAATATGAGGGGAAAAAACACATATATGTCGCTTTGCTGTATAAGTTGCAGGCATGCTAATTTATGCAAAAAACTGTGACTTATACAGCCAAAATTATGGTACATTTCACAATACTAATAAAAGTGTCTTTGGAGATTTATGAGCAACTTATCAATATGTTTCTTTGTTGTGCAGGAGTTCTACTCAGTCAAGTTTGGTGATGATGTAGTGGAAATTATCAAGGACTCCAACCCAGTGGATAAAAGCAAACTGGATCCTAATAAGGTAAGAAAGCATATTTATTTATAATTATTGGCAAAAAATAGGAACGTTTAAAAAAACTTTTTAACTGTGTGCTTCCATCTAACAAGGTTGAGTTGGGTCCTCTGGGCAGGTTCTTCTTTGTTGAAGTGAATGAACAAAGAAGAACCCTTCCAGAGGACCTGACTCATCCTTATCAGATTTATCTACCTGGATTATTGAGCATTAGGGCAATTTGTATTGTTACAGGCCTACCTCCAGATCACTTATGTTGAGCCTTTCTTCGACACGTACGAGCTAAAAGAAAGAATCACCTACTTTGATAAGAACTACAACCTGCGCACCTTCATGTACTGCACTCCCTTCACTCTGGACGGCCGGGCCCACGGGGACCTGCATGAGCAGTACAAACGCAAAACCATCCTGACAACATCTCATGCCTTCCCGTACATAAAGACCCGCATCAATGTCATCCACAAGGAGGAGGTAGGTGTCTGTTTCAAAGGATGTTTGTAAAATGAAATACTCTGCATGACACCGTTCGTGTTTGTTTTTACAGATTATTCTTGTCCCCATGGAGGTGGCAATTGAAGACATGCAGAAGAAGACTCAGGAGCTTGCTTTTGCCACAACTCAAGATCCTGCAGACCCTAAGATGCTTCAGATGGTGCTGCAGGGCTGTGTGGGCACTACTGTCAACCAGGTGCCTGTTTTGATTTACAACCTTTTTCTGTTTAAAATGTCAAATCAAACCACCTCAAGTTTTCTTTAAAGTCGGGCTTCAGTTCTGGGTCAGTTGAAATACATTCCTCAGCCAGTATGTAACTTCTTCTCCCCCTGCACAGGGTCCCCTTGAGGTGGCGCAGGTCTTTCTCTCTGAGATTCCTGATAATCCAAAGCTGTTCCGCCATCACAACAAACTGCGCCTGTGCTTTAAAGACTTCACCAAGAGGTGATGACACACGCCGCACCTCGGGCACAGACTAACGTGTAACCAAGAAAAACAAATCCAGACTTTCTGCGTCCTCTCTGTTGGTTGTTGTGCAGGTGTGAGGACGCCCTGCGGAAGAACAAAGCCCTGATTGGACCAGACCAAAAGGAATACCACAGAGAGCTGGAGAGGAACTACAATAAGCTGAAAGAAGCTCTGGGTCCTCTCATCAACCACAAGATCCCCCAGCTGTACAGAACCCTGCCAGCTCCGACCACACAAACACAACGGTAATTTGAGACATTAACATGTGCACATGGACACACACACAGTGAGCTCATACTTTTTTCTTGAACGCGACAATGGAGAAACATAAAACCAAACTTAAAACTTACACTTGTGCAGTTCTTGATAAGAGTTAGTGCACTGATTACTGAACTGAAGCTTGTTTGACTATAAATTATCACCATATGGTATTTTTCTTTGTTTGTTTTCATAATCTCTTGGCTGAAGCTTTGTCTTTACATGTGAGCGTCAGCGGTCTGCTGGATTATAATCAGAAACAGAGCTGGAGACAATGACGCTGCAGGGCAATAGAAATAAAACAACTTATCTTTTTTTTTTATTTTTACAAACTTCCAAACACGTTTAAAAGTATTTGATTTCCTTCGCTCTCTGGTTTGCTAATAGTGCATTAACTTAAGCTCTTTTATGCTTTTTAGCTACTTTTAGCTACTTTTCAACTGTTTCTTTTGCTACTTTCTGCTTTTTTCAGATAAATTCCACTTTTTTGTGCTCGTTTCTCTGCTTATTTCAGCCTAATTAGGCAAAAGTGTTCTTTCTGCTTTCTTCTGCTAATTTAATCTGGGAATTTTTCAGCTAGCTTTTTAGCATTTCTTAGCTGATTTCAGCTGTTTTCAGATAAATTCAAGTTTTGCATGTTCATTTTTGCTACTTTCAGCCGAGTTAACTACTTTATGCCCATTTCAGCTTGTTATGCTTTCAGCTTTTTTCTGCTAGTTTCAGTTTTTTCTGCTCTTTCAGCTACTATTTAGCTGATGTTTTTTCAGCTAATTCCATATGTTTTAGCTAATTTCAGCTCTTTCTGCTTCCTTCTGGTAGTTTAAGCTCTTTTCTGCCTTTTCTTCAGCTATTTTTTTTTCTAGTTTCACATTTTTTAGCTAATTTCCTAATTTTTGTGCTCATTTCTGCTTATTTAAACCTTCAGCAAATATGTTATTTCTGCTTTATTCTGCTAATTCAGGTTTGTTCTTCTATTTCAGCTACATTTCAGCATGTTTTAGCTAATTTCAGTTGTTTATCGGCAAGTTCTTCTGCAATAAACATTCACACTGCATTTTCGCAGGAAATGCAATTTCTCTAGTATAATTTCATGTTACTCTTAACCTTCAAACAGATTTTTAAAAGTGATATATTCCCTATAGAAAAACTTTATAGCTCAAATTAATAAAGAATTAAAAAGCCTAGAACTCCTTGAAAGAATGCATAACGTCCGCCGTCTTTCATAGAAGAGTTGTAGACAACGATCAGCTTGTATTGGAAAATGATGGAGTTGAAGCCATTTTGCTCAAACCTTGAAGATTACCAGTACATTATCCACATGTTCATGCAATCTCTGGCGGGACCTGTTAGTCCTTGGGCTGTGCTTTAAACGACTCACAGCTACTACCACGTCAACGTTTAGCTCAGTATCTGTGAAATTCCCTGAGGTATCGTTATTTTTGTGTAGCCTACGGTTAATTAACAGCTGTATAGATCGACTCCATTAGTAAACTGGTTATAGATGTCCATCCAAGAAAGTTTCAGAAAGTTTTATTGAAATCATTCACTAGTTCATGGGATATTTTGCTAACAGATAAACAAGGCTGACTACAATAGTTAGTGCTGTGGTTTTAAGTATGTGTTGGGAACACTGCTTAGCTACTAACACACCAAATATAGTTTAAAATCTGTTAAATTGACCAAGTTACAGCAACCTTGGTGCCTTCTGAGGTGAGCAGGCTTCCAGTAGTTGACGGCAAAGTTTTCAACACAGATCTTGTGCATTCTGTTAGTGCTCAAAGTACAAGTTGGCGATGAGTCTCAGCAGAGACACAAGCAAAAATGTTATTGTCGTTTTGCCTCCAACGGTGGGCAATAATAAGAAATTTGGTCGTGCAAAATAAAATTTGTAATATGACTTTTACAGTGACGAAGAAAGCCTCTAGTGACCTTTTCTTTTTGTCTCACAGAAACTCCTACACCAGGTCGAGCCCCCGCTGAGGTGCAGAAAACTGGAAAACACAGGACAAGCTGTGGAAATGATCACATCTCATCCATGTTCGCTGCCCCTCCCCCTCCACGGCACACCAGCTGTCTCTCACACTCGCACCATCCTCTTCCTCGTTATTTTACCCCTGCCCAGCCTCTCAGTCAAGCCTGAATCCCGCCCAGTACCACCACTACCGCCACCACACACACTGCTAGTTGTCCATCTCCCCCATCACCACCAGTCTCACACCTCTGTTAGAAAAAAAAACAATCTCAGCTGTTTATACTGGGAGGTTATCTGCTCTGTAAACATTGTCATTTGGCGTCAGGCCCTTCAGATGCCAGAAAGCTTTCCAAAGTAATCCACTCACTGGCAACCCAACGTAATCTCTTTGAGCTCATCTGGCTGCATTAGTTTTTATGACCAGACTGCAGCAACCAAACGTTTTGTATCTTGTTGTCTGTTTAGTGTCATGTCTTTACTTTTTATTTGTAAAATACTGTTTTAAGACAAGTCTGGTAAAAGCCGCTACCAAAGTTTAAAAATGCTTTTCTTTTGTTGTAAGCGGACCAAATAACTGACATTCCTTCCTTCTCGAGCTGTAACATTTATCCGCACGCGTCTCGTTATAGGATTTCTTGAGTTCTCGTTCTGCGCACGCTCCGGACTCAGGCTCGTAAATCAGGAAAATGACAGAACTGAGGTGTTTTCAACGTTTTTCGTTTTAGCTTTTAAACTGTGAAATTCTCTGTAACGCACTGCAGTCTCATCGGATGTTTATCGCAGAAGCACTGCCTTCAAATATCTCCAAACTGTGGCGTCTGCAGTTCAGCGTGATAACTGAATAACCTGTGGAGACAAGTGCTCTTCACACTGTGGGATCTACTGTTATAAAGACTCTACGTGTTTGTTTTATGCTCACCTCTATCAAAGATTTATATGTTTTTGTAGTTTTTTCCTACTGCTGTATGCATTACATTGCACTATTATAAAGATAAGTGTGGCACATTAACACTGTAACAAAACTATACTGTATGTGCTTTAGTTATTTTATTCTTTTTTGATTAAAATGTTTTTTTTACCATTTAGATTTTTATTTATTTGTCTTTAAATAAACATTTCTTTCTACAAAACTGGCTTGGTAATTTACCGTATTTTTCGTACTATTAGGCACACTGGATTATAAGACGTATTAAGCAAAATAAAAGTATTTTGACATATTTTTGAGCGCCGTGTACCACATAAAATCAGTTCGGGGTCAGTAAGTACAACCAGAATTGATACGTAAGGAGCACCAGATTATAAGGCTCACTAAAGGATTTTAAGTGCATGCGCCTTATAGTCCGAAAAATACAGTATGGCATTTTGCAATGAAAAGGTACTGACAGTGCTTTGAAATTGTCAAATATTTATTTTATTCTAATTTTTATAGGTTAAGTCGGGGGGGGGGGGGGGGGCAGCCTATGGGGTCTGGGGACACGTGGCTCTTTGGTCCCTCTGCTGCGGCTCTTTCAGGCTTTGACCAAAACTAAAATAAAACAGATTTTTATTTAAATTATTGCCAGCAATGAAAATGGCTAGTTTTAGCAGATGTCCTGGCATTTTCAAATACATCAAGAATAGTACAAATACAAGGTGTAAAACGTGGAATATGTCATGCTAGTAGTTTGTTAGCCACTTTAAGTCCACTTCCAGTCTCTGCGTGATCTTTCTAAAACCACCAGAATGTTTTGGATATCTTTTAAGACAAGTTGCTGAGAAGGAATATGGTGAGTAACTTTGATAAAACACAAAAATACAAAGTCAAAAACAAAAGTATTTATTTTTATTTGAAAATGTAGTTGGATATCCAACAAATTGGCCTAATTCTATACTGTTTTTATGCTTTAAGAAGGATATTTAATTCTTCAACAATTAAGAGAACTCACACCGGCCTGCAGAGTTCAGTGTTAAATTTTCTTCCTTTATATGAATCTGGTCTTTTAATGTAAAAATATCAATAAATGTTAATAATAGTAAGACATTTTTCCTTTTATAAGATCAACTCCACTGGCTGAAAAAGCCATCTCCAATGAACTTGTAGTGGTCCACGGGCCACCAGTTGACCGTTGTAGTGAACTTAACCTGATGTCAAACTAAGCCTAAGGTCAAAACCCTTGACCTTAAGAACCTTGTGGGACAGAAACTGTCATTTCATTGATCTGCATCCAGAAATACAGTTTGACCCATCCTGAGACTTTCTTTCTTGAATTAATCAAGTGGAAAAGGCAATCCTCTATGATCATTACTATTTTACAAATGTTTTGATAATCAAATTGTGTTAGTTCAAACAATGTTTACAGGTTGAAGAGAACTACTCATTTTATTTACATAAACAGTAAGTAATGATTTTTATTCCTCATTCAAAGAAGAAATCAGGGTAATATGCATTTCTTGATTTTTCTGTCTTCAATGAGCAAGTTTGTAAGTGTGTTAAAGTTCAGGTTTTGGTCAACTAGAAAGTTTACTGAAAAGAAATGTCATGTTTAACTTTTACAGCAAGATACAGGAGAGTTGACTCCACGAAGTCTGAAGTTCTCCAACAATCTTTCTGTCTGTTTTAAACAATCTTAATCTCTATCCTTGAATTTCCATAACACCTTACATCACAAACCACACCTCTGTTCTGGTCCATCCACGAATCAGAAAGCTCTCAAATGAACCGGAAGTCGAACCCATTTAAATGTGGCGACTTCCCAGTTCAACAGCAGAGTTGAGACGAGATGTAGAGTTTTTTCAGAGCTTGAAAGTTTTCCCTGGAGAAGAGTTCCAGAGTTTAACTCTCTGAAGAGAGTTAAAGAGTTCAGAGTTCTTGGATGCTAACGCAGGCGTCCAGGATGCTTCTATTAGAATCAAGCTGATCCAGAGGGATTTTGGGAATTATAACTTCTGTTTGGATAACCTCACACGACTCCTAAGGGTTTGGCTGTCCTCACGGAGACGCTGAAAGAGTCAGAAGGGAACTCTACACCGACGCTGATTCTACCATCTGCAAGGTAAAAAGTTCTATTTCGACCAAGCGTACCGTGGCCAAGCTGATTCTCCAAAGAGCGTGTTGTTCTTGTACCACAGATAAATTCCCTCACACATCTCTCTGTAAGATAAATCTCCATTTTCCATCTTTAAACTCTCCTTTCTCCTAAAAATTAATCCAGATGTTTTCATTAATGTCTGTGGTGATGCAACGGAAAATCATGGCCGTATGATTTTCCTGATTGTAAAACTGATTAAGTCATGTCTGCCGTTTTAGCTGAAAAGTGAAAACAATCGCCGCATTGTTCTCACTTCCTGTAAAACTATGCTGTTGTTATTTTCATATTTTGCCAAATTAATGTAAATGTTTGATGTTAATCTTTGATTCTGTAAATAAATGACCGCATTCATTTTGATGGGTCAAAGATAAATAACGTCTCTCGTTACATTTCTGTTAAATTCAATGCACGACATTTACACAGTTCAGAAAAATGAAGAACCCGTTAAAGTATGAATATATCTGCACCCTGTTCATACTACACCGTACACAGTTGTAGCAGGTTTTGCGGCTGTGGAAACATCAAAATTATTAAGCAAAGTGTCAAAAATGGCTCTTTTTATCACAAATGTCGCAGACTTCTGGGTTAAGTAAATGTACAATAATAATAATTTCTCATTTGTTAGATTTCTCAAGGTGTAACTTGGACTGTAATTTTACCATAAAATTGTTTTATTGGACAAATTCTAACCATTTGTATACATGTTGCGTGCGCCAGTGGTTCCCAAAGTCGGGGGGTTCATGAAACATAAGTTCTTAGATAATCTCTTGGGGAAGACTAATATTCAGAAATAAGCACAATAATCACAAACTAATAAAGCCTGTTTACCATTATGCCTTTTGTTTAATAAGATTATCAGCAAGTTTGTACACTTCAATGGGTCAAAAGCCTCCGCTGTTTTGTGGGTTCGAAGTTGAACAAATTGGGAATCGCTATAAGTGACGACGTTCAAATCGTACACATTGTTTGCAGCTGCACGTATCTCGGTGGCAGGCCTCAGACTGATCAAGTCTTTCAGATGAAAGACGAAACGTTTCTTCCAAGAAGAATTGGTCCAGATGACACGATTTAACTCTTTTTTTTTTTTTTTTTTTTTTTGTGTGTGATTTATGTATCTAGAGGACTGAGCTTATAATCTTTTTTTTTAATATATAAAAAAGTACACATTTCTGTAAAGTTGTGGTTTAGTTTAAAAACACAATAATCAAATGTTTTAAGGTTAATTTCAGCTCAAACGTACCGTGCAGTGTTTTGAAGGTCTGGTGTAAAATACGTGAACGACTCTGCAGAAACGCTCTTACTGATCTGTTAGAGTTCTTATTATTAACATCATGTCACACGAACATGTACAGAACTGTGCAATAGTTTATAAGCATCTCTGTTTCTTCAGATAATATAGACTGCTCTTGATCAGCAGGTCTCCAGGCTTTCTGAAGGTCTTGAACAGTTTTTTGATTGTTCAAGATTTTTGCTCGATGGTTAACAGACTTCAGCCTCTTAAAGCATTTAAAGCATGCAAATTGATGAAGTTGCTACTTTTTAAGACCTGAAGATTCCCAGCTGCTCTGGGGTTTGGATGGTCCTTGAAGAAGTTTTGAACTCATCTGGAGACTGAGGGAGGTGTTTGTATTTTCATAGGGTTAGGTGAGGCAGTCTGCAACCTGTGGCTCAGTGGTTCCTCTGCAGCGACTAAAAATAACATGGACATTTTCTTCCTGAACCACAAGGAGAAGCTGATTGTTGCAGTTCTCTTCTCCAGTTTTCTGCAAATGTCGATATTTGTTTTGTAATTGGATGACGGTATATTACAACGAGGAACAAACATCAATTAATTATTTGTTAGCCCTTCATTTAATTCCCAGCCACACAGTGTGGTGTTTAAATTCCTCATAAAATTTAACATTTACTGAAAGTTGATGGGTGGGGAAAAACAAAAGTTGTAGTTTCACAAACAGACTATATGTTATATAAATGTATTCTGTAGAATATGATGTGTTATTCTGAGAACAGTGAGAATCAGAAGTAAAAGCTTGTTTTTCCAACTTAAGACAAGTTTAAATAAATGAAGATATCAGTTATGAGAGAAATTTCACTGAGTCACGATTACACATCAATAATTCATCAAGTAAATGTGTGCATTATTATTCAAAGTGAAGTACCTCATTTCCCACAGATATATGGACTCGCATTACCCTTTGTAATTTAGTTATTACCATTATTAAAAGGTGTAAAAACAATTTTTTTTCTCCAAGAGTTTCATCTCTCGATCCTGCAATGTAGAAGTAGCTGATAAAAGTTAATAGTTTTTTTTTTTTTATCTTTAATTGCAATGTCTTGGAAGGTGGTCCAAACTAAAAAATCATAAAGTAAGAAACAACATTGACACTTTTTTCATATACTGTGTCCTTATAATCAAAATAGAAATTTAAGCAAAAGAAACAGGGATTGAAAAGTTTGACATTAGATCTGTTGAGAGAGAAAAATCTGCTTTGTTTACATTGAGCATTCCAGAAACACATATCTTGAGAACTGCTCCTTCAAATTGCACCATTTGATAAAGTTCAGGACTTTTTATTTATTTATTTGGATTTTGTACCTGGATGATTGAGCATGAACTTTGATGACTTGAACCACTTTGGCTGTGTCTGGGAGGAGTTGACGGGGGACAGGACAGCCCCCAGAAACCATAGCTCCAGCAAACTGTTTGGTCCACTAAAGGAGTGTACTGCTTAGTGGGGAAAACAGTTTACTTGGGACTCCTCAGACTGATGAAGCCCTCAGGATAGAGGGTGAAACGTCTTTCCACAAAAAAAGAAACTGTCCAAATGACCTGATTGACCATTACTGGACTTTTTAAATGTTTAATGTCACAATTTGAGTACTTTTAATCTCAGATTACAACGAGTCTTCTTCTCTCTCAGGGGTCACCACAGCAAACTAACTCGCACAAAGACTTGGCGATTGTTTTTATGGCTGATGTCCTTCACTGAGCTACCACAGCCCTCTGTGTGGAGCAGAGAGCTGCTGTCTAGGGCGCCCAGGGGTGCAGACGGTGGGGGTTAAGGGCATGCTCAAGGGCTCAGGGTGGGACAAATGAGGGTGGAGGAAGGTGTGTGCTCCACATTTTTTGATGTTATCGGTATAGGCCTACGAGGAGTCGAACCAGCGGTCTTCTGATGAAGGCTCACCTTTAACCTCTGCTCAATTTTCTATGTGTAGTATTTACATAAAACCCAACAATGAGCTGCAATAATCCAGTTTAGATCTTCAAGCGGGATTTTGTGGTTCTGTACAGATTAGATGATTGGCTGATGATTGTAGAGGAGCTGGTGCCCAGTGCACGAGCCTCGGGGACGCGCGTCCGTCTGTGAGCTGCTGGCCCTTTAAGAGGAGCGGAGGAGGCTGGGGGGAGGGATGGCGGAGGGATGGGGTCCGGAGCATCTCGGCTGCGGTGTTTTTGTCTGTCAGTGAGCGCTCCAGGGCGGACAGGGCTGCGAGGAGAACCGAAGGACGGGTAAGAAGTTTCCTCTCCCGTGTCTGTAAACAAAAACAACAACAAGGCGCGTGTTTGATCAACGCGCTCGGTGCGCTCCGGTGGACGCGCCTCCAACGGGACTTTCTTTTGTGAAGCGTCGGTTCTGCCCAAAACGGTTCGGCCGGGTTTGTCCGAAGCGACTGATCCCCAGAGACCTAAAACCTTTAAATGCGGTTAAAACGTTTCTGTTCGGGGTTCTGTCCAAACGGAGCCGTTTTGAATGTTTGGGACGGCCTTTCTGCAGAGGTCGCTTTGTTTGGAGCATCCCCTCAACAAACATATGTCCTTAATTATTCTAAATTAATATTTCTACATGAGCTGAACCAGCTTCAAACAGGGCTGCATGCGCAATGTGATTCTGGGTTTTTAACTGATTTTTGTGGAAATAATTCAGTTTCCATCCAGCAGCATGTGTGTGGTTCATTACAGAAAACTCCTGGACAGGACTTCACATGTTCAGCCTTTTTTAAATTTTATTTATTTATTTTTGAGCTGTTTTAAGCTGGTGACAATTTTCTGTTGACTATTTTTCCACAAGAGCTTTACTCTATTTTCCAGAAATGAAAAGCAAAAAAACCCCCCAAAAAAACATTTGGGATTTTTTTTTGTTTGTTTGTTTCTGACTCTTTGCCAACGCACAAAAAAGGTTTTTGTGTTTCAACATTTTTAATTTTATTAAAAAATATGGAAAAAACTCAATTAAGCCTGAAAGGGCTCTGGGGAGAGGGTGGGTCCTGAGCTCTCATGACTTCCAGATGTTTTTCTTTGCACTTTATGTCTCCAGATTTGTTGGATTCAAAGGTAGTTGAGGTTTTTTTTTTTTTTTAATGAGAAAAAGCTGAATAAATGTAGTCCAGGTGAAGTACAAATCAGCTGCGTTTTGTTGTGGCAATACTTTCTCATGAAGCTCTTTGAAGACTAAAGTTTTCAAATATAATAATTGAAGCATTCCTTCGCCTGCGGCCTTTCATGCCACAGTTTTAGACTTTTAGTTTGATCTTATTCTGAGAAATCTTGGCCACGTAGCCATTTTGAATGTAACTTGAATATATTTACATAAGCTCATGTGCAATATCTAACGTTACCGTCAGCGCTCTGAGTATAAGAACCCCCAGCTACTACCAGCTCCAAATTTTAGCTCAATACATGTAGATTTCACTGAGTTATAACCAGTTTTGTGTGGACTACGGTTGATCATCCGTGGCAGCCGTCATAAAATGGGTGCAATGATAGCTTTCCGAGAGTTTCATTGAAATCCATGGAGTGGTTCATGAAATATTTTACTAACAGACGAACAGGATCGAGCTCAGCAGTTGATGCCAAAGTTGTCGGGCAGAGTTGGTGTTGAGGACGTTGCTCAGCTTCCACATTATTTAGCTGAATATCTGTGAAAGTAACTGCGTTGCAGCCGCAGGTTGTGTTTGCTAGGATTGCTTTGCAGTGGCAGCCATCTTGAATCCCATTGAGACAAAAACTGAATCTGTAGATGTCTGCCCGCCGTTCTAAAAGTTGCATTTCAATCCGTTCAGTGGTGCACGAGACATTTTGTTAACAGTACTGACAAACAAACGGAGACAAAGTCAAAAACTATCACTTTGGATTTGGCCTGACGAACAAAAATGAAGCATTTTTTATCAGAATTCTGGTGAATTGTAACTTAATGCAGCTGTTTGAGATCATTAACGGCTCATCTTTGTATGGGACGTGATGCAGACTGTGCTACATTGTGGAGATTTGTCAGAAAACACGTCAGATGTTGTTATGGAGGACTTGACAGGATGTGGGGGTGTATTCATCAGCCTGTTACGCTACATCTCACAATACACCACTGTCCTGCTCGTAGTGACTTTCTGGTGTATGAAATCGCCCAACGGGCTGCTTGTAGCAGCTGCGTGGAGCGGGTACCCCACAGTCCTCATGTTTCTCCTCCGTTCTATCTGCATCCAAACAACATTTAAAACAAATACAGTATAACTCAAAACCACTGGTCTATTCCGAATCTTTTGTGCGACCACTGCAATAACAGTGAAAGTTGTCGACGCCACATTTTCAGAATCTTTGTTCAATTTTTCATCATCATTATTTATTTGTCCAAGCTGGAATGTGATCGTCTCATTACAGGGTTTGGACCGAGGGGTGCTGTGGTGGAATGCAGAGCCATAAAGCCCATTTGCACACCAGGCCACACGCTGGGTATTTAAATGGTTTAGTGAGACTAATGAAATTACACCCTGAACCTTTATATGTTCTGTCACACTGTCCTGGGTCCATTACAGATTGGCTTCTCTGAACACTTTAATGGGATAACTTGTTGTTTTTATATTTAAACAATATACATAATCATTCTTGTTTATTATCTATCACTTTAAGGACGCTTTAGGTATTTAAATTGTTGCTAATTGGACCTTTTAAGATTATATAGTTGTTTGTTTTGTAGTTCGTCCAGTGCTTTACCATAAAAAAACCTGTTGAAACTTCAAACTTTTCACTTTAACTTTTGATTTGTCAGCTTCTGAACAAGATAGATTAAGAAGTACTCAAACTTTAGCACAATATTTTTTTTAAATCAGTTCATTTATAGCCATTTATGTGCTTCCTTTGTTGTTTGTGTCAGCCATTTTGAATTTGGTTGACCCCCAAAAGTTAATTATCCAATTCCGTAAGTTTTTGTTAAAATTTGTTTGTGTTTCGTGAAATATTTTGCTAACAGACGGACACGGGCAAAAACACAATCGCCTACATTTTGAGGTAAAATACTTGCTTTCATTGTAAACTAGTAACACTGGATTGTTTTTAAAACTTCCTTATCCTCCTAAGACCCGGACTCTTGCATATGTGGATGCCAGGTCCTAGGAGGTTAAACATTATTTCATATGTGAATAAAGGCCCTGTTTACATGTAAACGATTTTGAGTGAAAATGGAAAAGTTTTGTTGCATTCGTACTGTTCATTTACACGAAAACAGCAAATGTTTTCTCTGACAACGACACAGTTTGAGAATGGGCCCAGAGCGCAAAGGTTCAAAAACGTCCTGGTGTCCGTTGTCGTGTAAACAGGAAAAAAAAAAAAAATTCTGTCAGGGAATCCCTGGCTCATGCGCAGTATGACACAAAACACAACGGCTTTCTACAATCCACAGAAGAAGAAACTATCGACAATGGTGGATACAAGTATTGTTTGTGCTTCTGACTCTTATAAATCTATAAATCTGACTACGGCACTCAAACACAGTGCTCATTTTCTACCTCTTTACTTAAATCATGGAAGACGGAGCTCATACAGCTCCACTCAGTTACGTAACGGACGTATGCAAATATTATTATTATTATTATTATTCTCTGCCATCTCGACCATTGTAGCGGCTTTACTTTTTTTTTTTTTTTACTCAAATTTCAAAGAACATAGCACCAACTAGTGGCGTGGTGAAGGAATTGCACCTTTCCCCACGTCTACCGTTGCTGTGTAAACAAAGACTGTAATTAGAATATTTTTATGTAAATGTGTTAATAGAAATGGGAAAAAATTTCAGTTTTCATCGAATCGTCGTTGTGTAAACGGGGCCTAAGTCGCAACAGATCAGAATAAATGAAATGCACTACTTTTTAAAATTTAATCTTTTTAAAGCTAAATGAGTAATTTATATTGTCACTAATAGTTCTTTGAGCTGATAGACAAGATTGTGCATAAATTGGATTAGTTTTAAGCTTGGGATAACTCAGTATTAATCTCTGCTGATGCAGAAAAGACAACAAGTTAATGCTCCTACTTAACATTGTTGACTAATGAAACTAGTCCTCAGGTTTATCGTGAGCATATGGTTAAATGTGGCTTCTCTAAACCTAAACGGAGTAGCTGATTATCTTCCTGAATATTCGAAGTGATCTCTTTTAATACATTAATGACACAGATGGTCCGTACTGTCCATTAAGTGGTTTAATTGTGATGGGATACTGTGTGTGGATGCTTTCCTGCCCTCGTTTGTTGTTTTTGTGTCTTCATTAACAAATCTTTTCAAATCAGGAAGTAATCGATGAGATCCTTGAGAAGGAACCACTTAACTGCTTCACCGTTTCAGGAAGTTTACTTCAGCTGCAGTGCTGTCCGCTCGGCGCTCGACACATGCTGATGTGATCTTTAAACCCGCACCTTGCTCTGACCGGCCTTTTCTTGTGTCCCACTGCTGTTTGGACTTTGTCGTCCTTTTTTTATTTTCCTCCAAACACTCCCTGCTTCTCTGCCCTGCATCAGTTTTAATCCCCACCTACACAACTGCTCAGGAATTTACTCCCAAATGCTTTTTTTTTTGTGTGTGTGCATTTGGTTTGTATCTTTTTTCCGGCGCAGCTCCTTGCCGCTCAGCCCCACCCTTGCTCAGTTTCCTGTTGGAGGTCAGCACAATGACCAATAGCAGACTGTCGGGTATTTACTCTGCTCCTGTTCCAGGAGAAATGTGAGCCGACCAGCCCCTCCTTTTGGCTTGACTCATGCTACCACCAGACTGCTGAGGCCCTGTTGCCGTCTGCTCTCCTACACCATCGCTTTTTAATGTGAAAAACAGAACTTTGTATTTTTTTTTTTCAAGAGAGCAGGGAGGCATGAACATCCCAGGGGTCGACATAAGTGGTTTCCGTTTGTCCGAGACAACTTGTGTTCGTCTCAACACGATCTCGCCTCGCCTGATGGACAACTAAGTGAAATGGATACGGATTAAAGCTTTCTGTCGCCGTGATGGATTTCCATCATCTGCAAAAATGAAATGGGCGAAAGATGTTTTCAACCATCCTGATTTGGGCGGAGCAGTCTCAGATTTTGCCCTCTTGTCCTGCATCCCGCGGAGGAGACGCGGGACAAATGTCCTGCATTTGACAAGAGCTGACCAGGCTCACCTGTTCATGCAGTCTGTGTGGGAGGAGGGATACAGGGGGGCTGTTTCTTGGGCTTCCTGCAACAGCAGGAGTCAGGTTGCCGTAACAATCCTA